GAAAAAATTAAATAAAGATGAAATTTTTTTTGTCACTTTTAATGAGTTTGGATTTGGATGTAATTTTTTCTTTTTATGTATCTATCTCTCTTTTTTTACTTTAGGCATTTGAACTTTTAAGATAGTCTTATATATAATTTTGAAATTTATATTTTTTTGATATTTATATATAATTGAGTATTTGGGATCAATAACCGAGATTAAATTTATTATATTTTAGGCTAAGACAATGTCAAAAAATATTTAATTTTTGATTAATTTTTTTAAAACCAAATGAATCCATATTTAATATTATTAAAAAATAATTATGATTAATTTTTTGCTGGTGGATGAGTAATTATCCTTAAGTGATAGGAATTGAATTTTGATAAAATCAAATCAAATCAAAATAACTATTTTACCACCGCACTGCGTGTTTAGTTTTTTTTTTTTTTTTTGGAATTGTTAATGAAATGCACTTCTATGCATAGCTCTTATGATCACATCAGCATAACCAGTGTGAGTGTGACCTCTTGGACCGCTAGAAATGCAAGAAAAAGAGGCCCCATTCTTTATCAAAAGCTTCTCTATTTTTTATTTTTTCTTTAATTTATTTACAAACAATGGGTATCCATGGGCCCATTTGGATTCTCACAATCACTCCTCTTCGATTTGAGATTGATTGAACCAGTCACGCCAAAAGTGGAGGGAAAAGGAAAAGTAGAATAAACAGTGTAATACCGTTCGTTGACCATTCATTCAACGATTCCTTTACTGTTTATCTTTTTTTTTTTTTTTTTTCAGTTTTTGATTTTTTAGGTATTTTATATGTAAATTTTTGCGAATAATACATTTTGGTCTCTTATTTTTTCAGCTACTTTTTTTCTATTCCAAAGCTTTATCAGTGTCGTGGTTTGGTCCCTAATTGTAAGGGAGAAAGAAAAGCAATAGATAAGGTAGGAGAGAGAAAGTCATGGTAAGATTTATTCAGGTCACTTTAGCTCTCGATTTTGGATTTAGTTTCTTTGTTTTAGAAAAAAGTGTTTGTTTATAACAATATAAAACTATAAAATGATTGAAAGAGGTAGATTAAGACTCTAAAATATTTAGAGATTTTTTAGTTTGATTTGGGTTTTTGTGTATTAAAATTCAGAAGTTCTAAACGAATTTTATTAATCTTATTTTTATGATTTTGAGGTGTATATATATATAAGAAACTAAATTTAGATTGGAAAGATCGAAAATTCGAAACTCGATTTTGATAATTTTTTTAGCGAACTCGAGTTTGTTAAAAATTACAAACAAAAGACACATTAAACTGAATTTGGATTGAAAAAGCCGAAAATTCAAAATTTGATTTTTAACAACTTTTTTAGCAAACTCGAGTTCATTAAAAATCGTGGAAAAACGACATGTTGTCTACTCGGCAATGAGCCAACGACTTGTCGTCTGCTTTCTATTTGTCTCTCTTTTTGTTTGTATATGCAAACTTGGTTCTCTGCGCCCAAATGCACAGGCTTGCGCCCTAGCTTGGTTCTTTTTTATGGATTCTAGGCCAAAAATTGTGCAAGATTGATTGTTATTTTTGAGGTTTCTCACACAACCAAACGAGAAAAAAAGTATATATTATATTTTTTTATCTTAAAATAAGCATAAATTTTAGATTATATCATTCTTATTATTTAAAAATTTTACTTCAATTTGCCATATTTTATGGAAATTATCATCAATTTTTTTTTCTCATAATTGGACCCTATGCTTTTCATTTTTTATTTTATTTTATTGAGACCCTCTATTCTTTCTTGGTTTGATTAAGATAATTTATTTTTTAAAATTTCTTGCTTCGTACCTTTTTTATAACGTCACTAATCACTAATCGACACCTCTACAAGATTTTTTACTTCGTAATGTCATTTGTCGAATGCCGATTGATAGTGTTATAACCGAGGGTCTAAAACAAAAAATCTTGAAGAGTAGGGAGTCTCGATAAAAATTTTTTGAGGTGTATATATATATATAAGAAACTAAATTTAGATTGGAAAGATCGAAAATTTGAAACTCGATTTTGATAATTTTTTTAGCAAACTCGAGTTTGTTAAAAATTACAAACAAAAGACACATTAAACTCGAATTTGGATTGAAAAAGCCGAAAATTCAAAATTTGATTTTTAACAACTTTTTTAGCAAACTCGAGTTCATTAAAAATCGTGGAAAAACGACATGTTGTCCGCTAAGCAATGAGCCAACGACTTGTCGTCTTCTTTCTATTTGTCTCTCTTTTTGTTTGTATGTGCAAACTTGCTTCTCTGTGCCCAAATGCGCAGGCTTGCGCCCTAGCTTGGTTCTCTTTTATGGATTCTAGGCCAAAAATTATACAAGATTGATTGTTATTTTTGAGGTTTCTCACACAACCAAACGAGAAAAAAGTATATATTATATTTTTTTATTTTAAAATAAGCATAAATTTTAGATTATATCCTTCTTATTATTTAAAAAATTTTATTTCAATTTGTCATATTTTATGGAAATTATCATCAATTTTTTTCTCATAATTGGACCCTATGCTTTTCAATTTTTTTTTTTTATTGAGACCATTTATTCTTTCTTGGTTTGATTAAGATAATTTATTTTTTAAAATTTCTTGCTTCGTACCTTTTTTATAACGTCACTAATCACTAATCGACACCTCTACAAGATTTTTTACTTCGAATGTCATTTGTCGAATACCGATTGGTAGTGTTATAACCGAGGGTTTAAAACAAAAAATCTTGAAGAGTAGAGAGTCTCGATAATTTTTTTTTAAAATTATAGGGTCTAGATGTGAGAAAAACTCAATTATCATTCGAATATATATATATATATATATATATATATATTTTATATAAAATTTTATTTATTAACAAATGTAATTTATTTTTTGCTTTGTACGTATTTTGGAATAAAATTTTAGAGCATAGTTATTTTCTCCTTTTTTAAAATATTTTATTTTTCGTTTTGTATGTATTTTGGAATTAAATTTTAGAGCATAATTATTTTCTCATCTTTTAAAAATATTTTAAATTGAGCATATATTTTAGATTTTATTAATCTTATTATTTAAAAAATTTTCCATCAATTTTTCGTTTCTTATGAAAATCCTCATCCAATTAATTTTTTATTTATAAAAAATCTACCAATAAACATAATATAATTTTCTCTATAGATGGATTTTGTGATAAAATTTTCAAAAATAAATTGATATCATTCATGTGAGAGATTCTTATAATTTTCAAATTTTAGTTTATTGACGACTCTACATATGAGGCTTGTATATATATCCGAATGAAAGGAATATAAATTCATGTGTTTTATTTGCTTCTTCTTTATGTAATCAAAATGTATTAAAATTAATTTTATAATAATTTTTATTTTAGTCTATTAACTTTAAATATATTCAATAAATTACTTACAAATTATTTTTTTAATATTTTTTATTTTATGTTGTAAACTCGAACTTACTCGGTATAGTTATGTAAAAAAAAAAAAAAAACTGAATCATTGGTTATTTTAAAAATTAACTATGCAATTACAAAAAAAATCAACCATTTACTATTTATTTATTTTTTGATTTTCTAGAATCAATTTTTTTCAAACACAAATAATTCAAATTATGTTGGGCTGAACCACCCAATTATTTAAATGCCATTTTTATTTTAATATTGTTGATAATAAATATATAAAAATGAAAAGTACAAACTATTAAAAAAAATCTTCTCATCAACATTAAATAATAATAATAAATATTTTTTCATTTGTTTTCTTTTTTTTTTTAATGAAATTTTTAAATCAATTGTTACTTTGTTTTTTAACAAAATTTTATGAAAAAAAAATAAGGTTTTTTTTTTCGTATTAAATTTTATTTTTAGATTATTACAAGTTTTTTTTTTTATTAAAAATGGTTAAATGGATCAAACCTCTCCAAAAATTTAACTTATTGAAAATTGAAAATTTATTTTTTGAAATCCTTGAACTTTTAATTTTTGAGATTTAATCCATCTAATGATTTTCGATTATCACTATGCCTTCGAAAAAGTTCAATTTTTGGTATTTTGAATTAAAATTTTTCAAACACATTGGAAAAAATTGAATCTATTTTTTAGAAAAATTCCAAGATTTTTTTTTTTTAACTATGGATTGCTATATTTGTTTATTTTTTGAATATTAAAAATATAAAAAAAAATCAAGAAAATAGGGACTAACTCGGAATGATCTCAATTTTTTTAGAAGCCCCGTATAAATCTCACTGAATAATTTCTATTATGAAGTTATTTATGTGATTATTATTTTTTGAGATAAATGACAGAAAAGTAAAAGAAGAACTTAATCTTAAAAAATTAAAAGTTTAGGGATCCCAAAAATCTAATTTAAAATTTTTAAATTCAATTTCAAATGATTTAAAGTTTGGTAAAGATTCAACCCATTTAACCATGAAGAATCTATAGATGAAAAAGAATACATTATATTTTTTAGATAGAAAAATTATAAAAACATATAAAAGAATTAGTCGAATACAAAATTTTAATTAAAATATAATAAAATAAAATTTTTTATTTGATACATTTTGAGATACCTATATCACGGCGCAAATCATTAAAGTTAAATAACTTTTTTAAATAATTTCATATGTTCTGTACAATCAATATAGCTTAGGTGAAAAACTAGTTATAACTCCTTTAGAAGGGGCTTCCGTATGGTGGAACAAAAGAATTATTTGTATAAACAATATAAGGATAAGATTTGAATTCAAGGGCTTTTCATGCCTATAGCCAAGTTCTTACTGACGAGTTCTAAAAACTCGAACAATAATTAAAGATTGTGTGGTTGTTGATGTCTGGTGATTGGCGATGGAGTTGAGTCGTTTTTCGTGTTCATTTTTGCATATCAAATAAGTTCTCTTAGCTGGTTGAAAGACTCTCTGACGGTAAAATTTGTGATCAGAGAGGCAAGGGCAACAGTGCTCTTCAATTTGGGAAAGGCAACAAATGAAGACAAGCTGGCAAGCTCAGCCTCAACACCACCACCAACAACGGATCCAGAGCAGTGGCAGAAATGTTGGGTATGAAAATGGGAGGTGTGGGCGGTCTGCCTCCATCTGCTTGGCCTCCTCTTCAAGTACCCCCACAAAATCAACACTCTAATTCAACAGGTACGAGAGCTGTTTTTCTTTGTGGCTGGTGTTAAAAGAGAGTGTGCTGGCTCTGGTGGTTTTTCGCCTCCTAGATATGGCAATCCCTCCGACCCCAAGAAGAAATCATGCACGATGCATTGAAATCTGGTGGAGAGATAAAGAGAGAAGAGAGGGTGGTTGGTGGTGTTTGGTTTCTGGGAAAAAGAAAGAAAGAGAGGGATTTTCTTCATTTTTCTTTCTTTTCATTTTCTTTTTAGCTGATTTTTTCGATGCTCAGCAGTCTCTTCAGGCTGCAGGTTCTGCCATGGAAAAACATATTGCTGATTCTTATTTCAATTTGTTGTGTACGATGCCAATTTCACACCGTAATTCTCATTAACTTGACCTTTGATTTTCCATGCAGATTATGATGAAAAAGGGATACCTCTTGGACATTATGAAGGAGGGTCTTTCCATAAAAGTAAAAACTTTGAAAAAAGAAGGGGATTTCCAAGAAACAAGGAGAGAAAACATCCAATTCAGGACCACCATTCGAAATGGCATTCTTTCTAAAGAAAAGGACCATCCTCCAGAGGAATTCAATGCTTACAATCGTTTGCTAAGAGAGGGGAGGTGATTCTCAACATTCATCCTTTCACGCTCAAAAGTTTGATTTAAAATCAAGGGCCATAGAACGAAGTTCTGAATATCTCTTTGGGTAGTGGAAACTTGACTATCATGATAATTACCTCGGTGATTTGTTCCTTTGTGATATTTTTTTGAAACCTTGAGCTTATCCTTGAGTTATTTGCTAGGTTAGCTGAGTCTGTAGATTTGCTTGAAAATATGGAAAGAAGAGGTTTGCTAGACATGAGCAAGGTAGTGCTGCATCCGTTAGCTGTTGCTAGATGCTTTCTTCTTCTCAACTTAAATTTTGGTAACTTGGATACCAACTTGATAATTTTTCTGATCCAGGTTTATCATGCGAAGTTTTTCAAACCCATCAAGGAAGCTTTTCATTTCTGCAAGCTGGTTCAAATCCCAAGCTTGAGTACATTTAACATGCTTATTTCTATGTGTGCTAGTTCACAAGATTCAGAGGGTAAGCCCATTTTTGAATGCTTAGTACTCTGCCAGAATATCTGCTTCTTGTATTGTCCATGTGCTTCAAGCCCCCGATATCTCTATTGTTTGTGTAGGATCCTTTGAAGCTCTAAAACTTGCCAAGGCTGTTGGATTGAAAGCTGACTGCAAACTTTACTTTAATATCAACCTATGCTAAGAGTGGAAAAGTTGATGCAATGTTTGAAGTACGGTAACTTCTTTGCTTCTCCTGGCTTAGATTGCTCAATATCATTATTCTACCTTTTCTCAGTCAGTTATGCTACTACTAATAATATAATATTGGCTCTTATTTTCATCCTTATGCTGTTCTTGCTATTCTGCTAATCAAGGCTGGAAATTTTGCTCATGTTGCTGTTGTTTGATGGGCTCCATCCATTATTATACCATAAGGGTGGTGATAATGATTCCACCATTGACATGCTCTGATTCATAATTAACTTATCGAATAAAAGATTTTGAAAACCTGCATTCATTATGATTATGAATGAATTACAAGTATCCTGATTGTAAGTAATTGATCTAGGCGTTCCATAAGATGGTTAATGCTGGAGTCCAACCAAATGTTCATACTTATTGACCACTTATTGATGGTTGTGCCAGAGCAGGACAAGTTGCCAAGGCATTCGGTTCTAATGGGATAATGAGCTCTAAGGTATCACTTAGAAAGAATTCTCTTGCTGTTTTCCTTGTAGAACTGACCTTATCCTGTCAATACATACTCTTAATCTGAGAGAAGTTTTTGCCTATGGCTGTTATTTCATGTTCTTGTTTAGTTCTGTATCCTAATTTTAAAGTGATGTTCATACTGACCAGATGCTTTATATGGTAGAATGTGAAGCCAGACCGAGTTGTCTTCAATGGAGTCATCGCTGCATGCGGTCAATCAGGAGCATTGTATTGTGCCTTTGGCGTATCAGCAGAAATGATGGCTGAGGCACAGCCTATTGATCCTGATCACATCACTGTTGGCGCACTGTTAAAGGCTTGTGCAAATGCTGGTCAGGTGAGTGTATTTTGTCTGCTCATATTCCCTTTATAACTCTGTTGAATTGATACAGAGTATGCTTTGCTTTTAGGTTGACCGAGCACAGGAATTGTACAACATGGTCCATGAATATAACATCAAGGGCACTCCAGAAGTTTATACGATAGCTGTTAATGGTTGCAGCCAGACCAGTGATTGGGAGTCTGCTTGCAGGGTGTATGATGACAAGGCAAGAAAAGGAGTGGTCCCCTCTGAGGTGCCTCTTTTAATATTAGATTGACCATTGTATCTCTATAGAATATTCATTACTGTTTTAAGATCAGTATGTTTTAATGCTGATGGATCAGGGTAAAACTAGTAATAAGTTTAGTTGGCTTGACAATAGTTCATAGAAGGAAGGAAGTATGGTCTGCAGTTCTCTCTTGTGAATGGTCGTACCTGTAGTAAAATGTTCTTCGGTACATATGATATGGTTCGGTTGTTGGTTTCAAGTCATTGTCTTGCAGTCATAACTGAAAAACTGCTTGTGAATTACGAAAGCTATAAATCATTCTTTGGTGCACAATGATAGAGTATATGATATCTTGGTTTTATTATGACATTGAGGGCAAAGGTCATTAGAGATCCCCATTGGTTGAAATTTTAATCTCATCCACATCTGTCCTTGATTTGATGAATATTTTTGGATGATTTTCTATGCACCAAACATTTTCTAACATAGAGTGAGCCATAGCATGGAAAAATAGGAAAAGACAACAACTCCTTTAGAGATTATTCAATTTTTTCCTCGTATTACAATCTGGAAATTGTTTAAATTGGAGATCCTGCATGATATTGATCTAGGTTCCTTCTGTTTTCAGGCCAAAACCTGGCAGAAGGGACTAGAGCTATATGGGGATATAAAATCCATGAAACTAAAGCCAACAGTCGTAAGTTTGAATGCTTTGATCACTGCCTTGTGTAAGTCGGTTTTTATTGCTTTCTTGTTTCAAAACAATTTGGTCTGTAACTAGTAGTTTATTCTGTGTCAAATAATTTATGCTGCCTTATTTTCTTATTTAATGCTTCTGTCTTTTATGATTAAATTAAATATATTGCTTGGACGCGAATAGAATATTAAGGAGCAATCAGCTACAATCAGTCCAATTGCAGTGTCATGTTATTTTAATTTATGAAGTACAAAGATAATTTGCTCAAGTATAAAGCCTGACTTAATTTATATGCCTACTGAATGATTACTGTCCCCGACATTCTTGCTGAACATTTTTCTGCAGACCTATTTGGACTTGATGTTAAATGATATAAATGGATCATCTGCCTATGCAAAATGCTTTGCTGTAAAATGTGGTATTTGAAAAAGCTTTTCTGGATTTTCCTTTGAAGGTTTTATAGAGGTAACAATAATTGATAAAACTGATTTCATAATATAAATCTGATGTTTATTTTCATACGTAGATTATGATAATTATGTTCTTTTTTATACCGAGAATATGGTAAAATTCCAGCATTGGGATTTTTGGGATATTGAAACAGATGATTACTGAATTGATACTAGTAGTGCTTTTGATGATTCCTTACAATTTTATTTCCAAGCTTTATAGTTTAGAGATAATCAACTAGGGTAGGACCTGCAAAATTATCAGAACGTGAAAAATTCTCAGCATCATTGTTGTGATTTGTCATCACCTGTGCTTGTAATGCTAGTTTCTCTTGAAGGCTTCATTTCTTTCAATGCTACAGATTGATGCGTGGCTCAGATAATGTAATTTATCAGTTGAAAACTTAAGAAAAGACATGGGGATATTTTGCTGCCGGTGATGTGGATCAACTTCCAAAGGCTCTTGAAGCTCTGTCAGAAATGAAGATATGGGGCCTTTGCCCAAATACCATTACATACTCTATACTCTCAGTGGCAAGCAAGAGGTAAGCATGGTATTGATTATTTTCTTTGAATATCATTGTTTTACATCCCATACAAATTTTTGGATCTTCTGACCTGTTTTTATCTTCTTACACCATTACCCTTCTCGCTATTTTTGTTTTTCACTGCAGAAAGGATGATCTAGTAGTAGGCCACATGCTTCTTTTTCAAGCCATAAAAGATTGTGCTGCTCCTACCCTCATTATGTGTAAATGCATAATTGGTAAGTTGGAGGGAATATAATTGTCTACTATATTTCAGATTTTGTACATTCTGTCTTTTGATTGTGCTTGAGCTGTTTCTATATCATACGAATAATTACGAATTCAGTAGAAACAGAATTATTTTCGTGATGATTTCAATTAGTTTAGTCTCTTCAATGTAAATGTTCAGTCAAATGACAAGTAAAGTCTTTCTGAACATGATCATTTGGAAGGCATGTGCTTTCAGAGATTCGAGAATGATTGTGCCCTTGGTGAGCCTGTTTTGTCTTTCAACTCACTACAACCATAAATTGAAAACAAATGGTCCTTTTTCTGCCTTTAGCAAATATTCTGTTAGGCATGTATCTCTATTGTGAAGTTGAAAATCCACATATGGATGTTTGGTATAATATTATGATAAAGTAGGTTTTTCTCATATAAACAGGCATACATGAATATGTTCACATTCATATATTTTTATTCAGGGAGGGATGGATGGATGTGCGAACTCTTAGTTGCTTGATTGAATATAGGTCCTTCATTTATCTAAAAGGTTCAGAAAATTGGAATTGTTAAACGGTCTTTGTCTGATGTTACGAGAAGTGTTTCGTCTAAAAAAATTTGAAGTATGAAATTTTCTTCCAGAGTAATGATCCTGGGGTACAGAAGTACTTTTCTGAGTAAGTCCTAATATTTGTTGCTTATCTAGGACGTCCTGGCCTTACTGGTCTATTGCGAAACAATTGCAGCTGGTGAGAGGCCTACAATGGAACTTGTTTCACAAGTTTTGGGATGCCTGCAGCTCCCTTGTGATGCCTCGGTGAAAAACAGACTTGTTGAAAATGTAGGTGTCACTGTTGTCATCAAGATGCTTTAATATCTGTTCTTTGGTGGATGGATTTGGAGAATACGATCCTCAGTGCTTTGTCATTACTTGAGGTCAGTAGGCAGCTGAAATCATTCTCAGTTTTCCAGTTTCGTGCTTTATTATGAATTATATCTGGGAAGTCAGCCAAGACTTGCTATTTACAGGAAGCTGCTTCTCTTGGAATTATTCCATGTGTATCCTTCAAAGAGAGTCCTATTGTTGTTGATGCTAAAAAGCTGCAAATTCATATTGCCGAGGTGCGTTTTTATCTTTGTAACTAGTTTTTGGTTAGTTGGTAGTTGTGGAAATCTACTAATTATCCTTGGGAGGTTTTCTTAACTCCTCTCAAGCTCTGTGCTTTCTCAGAGCACAATTCACAGGTTGCAAGTTTCTAAATCTAATGTCCTTTTTGCATCATGATTTTCTACGGTCACCTATTATAAACATCCTGATCACGTTTCCTTGATGGTTTTTAGAGAAATTGAAAGTGAGAATAAAATACGAGGTACATTTTATATTTGACCGTCAAATTTATTTGAGCAGTCCCTTCCCCATGTAAGATATTCGAGCCTCATATATAGACACCCAAAAGAAGGGGAAAAAAATAAAAAAAAATAACCAACAAGCCTAATACCATTTATATTTAACATGGCTCTTGGGCAAGAATGACAGGCACAAATTGAGAAAGCCTCCAAATTTTTCTTCTATAGATATAAAAAAGAACAGCCTTTAATTATAATATAAAGTATATAGTCCTTAAACAAATCAAAATCAGTCTCAATTGCAATTACGGATAATAGAAAGAAAGATGAAACCAAAAAATATTCAGTCTCTATCTATAATTTTGTTTATGTACGTACACTTGAAAATCATGGTACCGTATGCATTAATTAATAATCAAAGAGACAAGCCCATCTCTGATTATAATCCTCAACTGATTTCTGCTTTTCAAGCTTCCAGCATCCTCTCCTTTTTTTTATAAACTCTGCAATTGCATCCACTCTGTGCTCCTTCCAATTACGATCCTGATAATCTGATTTCTTATTTTCATGTTTCCAGATCCCTTTCATTTTATTTATGAACTCCTCAGCAATGGCATCCACTCCATGCTGTTGTATAGCCTCACATGATGCAAAAGATGTATCATCATCGTCAGCGTCATCTTCTTGTTCGTCATCCTCATTCTCCATCGTGGCAGCATCCTCCTCCACTTTGTTGCAGCCTTCATGATCACTTTTAAAATCATTTGTAGCAAACATTGCTTTCTTGATTTTTCTCTCCATATTGAAGCACTCGGCATAGTTGGGCTCTATCCAAAGAGACTCCACCATGTTTCTGGTGTGAATACCATAGTTATCTTCCTGTCTCTTGTCATGGTAGAAGGGTTTAAAATGGCAGTTGTAGAGGAGGTGGTGTTGGAGGCGATATGGACTAGTTTTGTTGAACCGGAATTTGGATGCTTCAAGGCTTTTCAGTTTCTTTCTTTTGTAGGGTTGAAATAAATCCTTTCCATACCTTATTAGGGATTGAACGGTTTTTTTTTTTTTTTTTTAAAGGACTGGAGCAAGACATGGCTGCTGAAACTTTTCTCAAAACCCAAAAAAAAAAAAGGTATTTTTTTGGGATAGTGTTGTGATTTTATAGAGGTTTAATAAGATATCAAAATCCATCAAATATTTCTTGGAAATATTTACAGAACAAATTGTTTTACTAGTTAAAATTAGGAAAATGAATGCAGTGCAATCTAGGCACTAAAATGGTAAATAATTAAAAAAGGTGAAACTTTTTTCCCATGCACCTCGCAATGGAAATATATATAATGGGGAATTTTCAATTTCTTGTTTCCCATGATCCTCTGAGGCCTAATCGAGATACGCATCCTGCTCCCAAGCTCGCGTCACTCGCTATTAATTCTTCAGAACAGACGGCCTTACACTGTTATATTTATGTACATCTGATTCTAGCCGTGATTCTTATTTTCTAAGCTAGTAAATAAGATTCTTTTTCTGTCACATCCATAACTAACTTTAACATTTGTGTTAAAGAGTTCTCCACAAGCAAACTCTTCAATCATTTGACTGTCCTTTTCCACGGACTAAATGTAAAGGCACATGCTTCTTATCTCTAAAATGGCTTGATGGTTGGTTCGTTGCAAGTATCTGAATTGCTTACATATTCAATAATCACAAAGGACAATTTCCATTAGGTGGGTTATTAATGTATAACAATTATATCCTCTCATCAGATAGGGATTGTATGGTTCTTGTACATAGACAAATGCTAGGTTTTGTGAATTGAATTGTTCTAATGTGCAGATAAGCTTTGTTTCTCTCTTGTTGATGTTCTTATAAGGAACTGCTTAGGTTATGGAAAATGATTTCTGGAAACACCAACATATAATTATGTTTTAGTTGCTGAAGAGATTAGTTGAAGCAGATTCATCAATGGCGTACTACAGCTCCTGCTATGGTGATGACAGCGAGTACTATAATGGTGAGTACTCTGTAACTCCTTACTATAACAGCTATGACTCTGCTCTAGTTCATGATTCTGTGGCTTATTCCAGCTACAACTACAATGAGAACCAAGTTTTTTCCTATGATCCGCTTTCTTGTTATGCTGCTTATGATCCTGCCTCAAGTTACTCAAGAATCGCATACTCTGCATCTCCTTTCAGTGAGCCTATGCGTATTGAGTATGATCCGGGTCCTTACTATCATGAACAGACGCGGTTCATTGTCTCATACAATGTCTCAGATTTTAACGAGCCTGAGTTCGAAGAATACGATCCAACTCCGTATGATGGTGGCTATGATCCTGCTGCAATTTATGGAAAACCTCTTCCTCCCTCAGACAAAATTTGTTACCCTCGTTCAAGGCCTGATCCCACTGGCTCATCATTGAATGGTTTCTCTTATGGATCGATTATAGCGCCTTATGGAAAGGATGAAGTCAATGAACCTGCTGCGAAACCTCAAAGTGAAAGCAAACCAATTAGACCTCCTGCTATTGAAGCAGCACCGCAGCCCCAAGAACACAGCAATGGCAAAGGTGAAGAAATCAAGGAAAAGGAAGGTGATCGTCATGATCCTTCTCCTGGCTATGATACCGAATATAGCAATGGATCAAGTGGAGAACTTGGTTATGATTATGGCAAGCAAATGTCTCAAATTCCATCAGGATATGGCTTGGAAGCTATGGATCTTTGTGAAAGTTTATTTGGTTACTGGCCTTGCCTGTCTAAATATGCTAGGAATGACAATTCCTGTCCAGAAGTTCCTGATTGTGGAAGTTATGGGAACCTGTGGAAGGGAACAGCTGATTATCTATTTGGAAGCCCAAATCCTTATGGAGACAGAAGGGGTGATCGAGGCAGCAGCTATGGGAATGTTATATATGGTTATGAAAGGCATTATCAGGAAAAACCTCTCAATTATCAGCTCAAGTATGTCGGGGATTCATGGTCAGTCTGAGCATGTGAAGGAGTCATTTCTACATTTTCTTGAATAATTCATCAATTCCAGCCAAAAAGGTGGAATTTTAGGTTGTACTACATAAATGGTGGGAAAGTTGAAGTTACTGTATGCATTTTCTTTGCTGGCTTCTATGATTACTGGGTTGGTGGTTGCTGTTTAGGCATAGGCCAACCGGTTTTTCCATGGGGCATGAGAATTCTCATAATGGAAGCAATCATCATTAGATGTAATAGAAACAATTGATGGTTAAACGGTAAGGAAATCAAACTGGTATAATATTCAGAAAATGGGTCTAGTTCGTCCTTATATAATTTCATCAGTATCTTTTATATATATATAGAGAGAGAGAGAGAGAGTCTTCAATTTGTTATTCTAATGAATTTTTCTGGCCAAAACTGTCAGAAAAAAGTCACATAACTTGTACATAATTTTTTTTTTCAAAAACTTATTTCAGCTGAATTTGTGCAAGTAAAAAATTATTTTTTAAAAGGTATTTTCGACAAAAAATTAACCATGCTCAAGTTGAGTAGTATTTTCCGATGATTTGATTAGAAAGATTCACTAGAAGAATAAATTGAAAATTCATTTAAAATATAAAAATATAAAATATAAAAAATAGATTAGATACTAATTTCATTACGTAAGAATAGATTAAACTAATATCCCATAATACTTCAAGTATTTAGATATATCCAAAGAGTCAAATATTTTTGAATTTATTTTTATATTAATTGAGATTAAGTCGATCATTCTCGGTTAGATTTATTAATTTGGGCAAATAAATGGATTCATTCCTTGTTTGTAGAGCATGTTTGTGGGGAACAAAAAAATTCTCAAAGTATAATTCGAATGTTGTGGAACGTTTGTTTGACATGCCAAATATTTTGAAGTACAAACTCTCAGATTTAATATCGGGAAAAGAGAGTGGAGAGAGGATATAGAAGAAAATGGAGAGGGTGTGGAGGCCACAGTAGGGTCAAATAAAAAAGAGAAAGAAAGAGGGAGGGAGACATAAAAAATCATTACATGTACGAAAATATCATTAGAGAGGAAGGAATAGTCATAAAGGAAAGGAAAGTGGGTGTTTATTACTATGATTATGAACAGCATTTTTTGTTCATCGATATGGCAACCAGTGGATTAGTACTAATCATAGATTATAAATTAAAATACAATACAGCTTTAAAGCACTCGATTTGTCTTTTAACGTTTGAACTTTGTGATGCCCGTATATCAAGGGAGTCTTGAACTCCTATTAACACCTGATTGATTGCTCTTAATTTTACTCTTAAGGGAGGTCATCGACATAGTTTTTGAAATGAGAGATGCCCTTTAAGCTTGCATCTATGGACAATGAGATGTGTTCCAACGTCTTAAAATGAGAGATGCACTTTAAATTTAAACGAAAAGAGCTCTAATCGTATTTGTTTTAAGTTTGTATATGTAAATTTTTTTTAAAAAATAATTATACGTTTAAATGAATAACGAAGGATGAGTGTATATTTAGATTCGAAATATTTTAGCAATCCAAAAAAAAAAAATAGAAATGTGATCCAACTTTTTTTTTTTTTTTTGGTTATAGATAAGATGTTGTAGTTCATAATAAATAATTAGTTGCTAGCCACGAAAAAAGACGAGTATCGTGGTGCAACACTTCGTTATGTCTATTCTTGTGCAAAACATGATGCAATTTGGTAGATATGCAGGTTACCAATGGCCGTTGGTGGCAAGTATTTTAGGTACGATTTCAAACCCTTTAACAAGTCAATAATAGCAAGGTTACAATTAATGCTAAACATTAAGAACAAATAAAAAGAAAAAAAATTAAGAATACACATGAATTATTGGATTAATAAGGCCCATAATCGGATCTTGTTTTTTAAAATCATAATCTAATGATTAATGTGTATTTTTTGGAATATTTTATAAATTAGTCCTTCTCACTTCAAAAATAAATTAGTTAGTCATTTTGACTTCAAAAACTAATTGATTAGTTTTTTTTTCAATTTATTTTGATTTTTTTTAAAATAAAAATAAATAAAAATATAAAAAAATTGAGAAGAAAAGAAGATATTTTATAAAATAAAAAATATTAATTTAATTGTTGTTTACACTAATTAAAATGATTAAATAATTAATTTTTAAAACTAAAAAGACTAATTAATTGGTTTTTTAAAATGAGAGGGCCTAATTTATAATTTACTTGTATTTTTTCAGTTTTTTTTCTAAATATTTAGCATTATTTTGCAATTCTATTAATATAATCCTTCAATGTTGGCTGGTGTGGTAATTTTTAATGAATTTGCTGGACAAATGGATTAAACATAAGTGATGATTATGAGAAAGAAACTCATAAAAAATACATCAATATAAACATGAATTTTTTTTATCTAAATCGAGATAGAGAAATAATTTGTTTTAGAATATAAAATTTTGTTATAAGAATATTTGACCACTAAGACAGAAGAATTACATAATAATACCCTATTGTGTTTAATAAATCAAATTAGACGGATTTAATAAAAAAATCATCATTTGTCAGCATATAAAACCAAATTAAATAATTTTTGGGCAAAAGCAACATCATATGAAAACATCACATAAAATTGGCAGGAATGATGAATGATGTCCTTTTCTTCTTCTATGTTTTTTATGCATATAATAAACATGTGACATGTCAAACCAAGACAATAAAGATAAGGATTAAACTATGAGTTTCTCCAGAAACCTTAATTTGCCTTGCACAGAGAAAAAACATGGCAGGCAAAAAAGAAATGCTTTTCTAACCTCGTAATACCCACCATGCTTTAACCAGCAGCAGCAGTTTCTCCCATCTTTCTTTTTTCTTATCATTGATGGCCGTTTGCCAAGTGTAAGCTTTCTGAGGCTGGATTGTTTTGCTTCTTCTGTTGTCATGCACAACCAACTCTTTGGTCTCAACCTCACTTGTCTAATTACCAACTTAGCAAATATTTTGTTTACCATATCACTCCTTCATTGTTCTTTTTTAGCAATCTTCCAATTCATACCCTCTTTTGTTTTCTTGACTTATCAACCCTTTTTATTTTTAAATATTTACAGATAATATGATATTTTCGTATTACTTTTCGTATCAATCAAGACTAAATTCATTATTTTTTAGACTAGATCAACGTTAAAATACGTTTAGTCTTTGTCCATTAGACTAAATTAGCTTAAGCCTAATACCATTAAAAAATAATTATAGCTAATTATCCTTGGACAAGTGAGAATTGAAACTTAATCTTGATCAAATCGAAACAACTTTGTTACGCTAAACCATATCTTTTGGTGGTATATTCACCCTTTTAATATATATAATGAAATTCTAACATTATGCTTACGTATTTCATTCCTATAATTAGGTATGCAATGCAAAGTCACAAACAACATGTATAGTTTTATTTTGTCGAAATCTTTATCAAAACTAAGGTCAGTATTGATGATATGAACGAACTGAACGAGATTCGTTACTCTCTTTAATTCCATGTTTATTTAGATTAAATTAGATTTTTTATCGATAATCTATAACTCAATCAAATTTGAATCCTCGCAAGGCTTGAAGCTTGATACAATTATGTTTTTTGCTATCATTTGTTTTATTTTTTTATGCAGAATAAAATTTATTAACTGCATTAAAATTTAACAATACACATATATAATAAAAATAAATAATGGCACTATTTAACTAGTCGAGTGAGGTCAAGAGTGTAAAAATCCAATTCTATTCTTTCTTTTGCCGGATAAAAGTCATGTTATTTTCGAATAGGATGGAGCCAAAATCAGTCAAATCGGACCAATTGTAATCCCAAAAATATTAAGGTCATTTAAGTAAATTTAAGACAAGGATCATTTAATCCACTCTAGGTTTACCAAGCAAGGGCAATTTGGACAACAAATTTTGCTGGCATATAGTTTGTATCCGCCAGACCAGCTTCTCCTTCATCGTCATCACAACCCCAAACACAAATTGAAACACAGAAGTTCTAAAACCTTAAAAACCTCAGTTGAAAAACCTCAAACAAGATCCATCTATTTATCTCTGTCTCTCCGAATCTCTGTGCTTCAGCTGTACCCACAAACCTTAACAATGTCTCTGACTCAATTATCTTTCCTCCCTTTCTTTCTCTCCCTCATCTTCCTCCTCTCCTCCATCACCACAACCACCTCTACTTTGCAAAACCTCCTCCAAAGCCAGGGCTTACCAGGTGGGCTCTTTCCAAACAATGTCAAGTCCTATAATCTTGACGAAAATGGTCTCTTAGAGGTGCAGTTAGAGGGTCCATGCATGACTAAGTATGAGACAAGAGTGGTGTTTGACAGTGTCGTTAGAGCTAATCTTAGTTATGGTGGGCTTATGGGGTTGGAAGGGCTTATTCAAGAAGAGCTTTTTCTTTGGTTTCCAGTTAAAGGTTTTGAAGTCAATGATCCATCTTCTGGGTTGATCTCGGTTGATATTGGTCTTGCTCATAAGCAGCTCTCTCGCTCTGTCTTTGAAGTTCCTCCTGTTTGCAAACCTCAAGGTAATTAATTGATGTTTTCTTTGATTTCTCTGTAATGGGTTTTTGCTTAATTAATTTATTTTGGATGGGGTTGATTTGGGTTCTGATTAGATTTTGAAAAGTATTTTTCTTTGATTTTTCTGGTTTTCTCTCTCTCTCTCTCTCTCTCTCTCTCTCTATCTTTGTTTGGTGGCTGAGAATTAAGAAAGATGAAGAACAGAATGAATGAAAGAATAAATAAATAAAATAAAACCTGTAATCTTCACCTTCTGGATCATGTAATAAATGAACTGTACATACTTAACTTGATATGTTCAAGGAATTAATTGCTCATTTTAGTAAAAAAGAAAAGGAAAATCTTTTTTATTTCTGTATCTAGAAATTTAGAAAATTTGATTCTTTTGAAGGAATAAAGTGGAATTTGAATATTTTTCTTTTAAAAGACATTTTGAAAGTTGAATATTGGAAAGCTAATTGAGAAATAATGTCAAAAATTGCAGGCTCTGATCTGTTGGAGAATTTTGGAAGGAAGATGGGATTTCAGGTTCAAAGATGAAAGCAAATCAAACTCCTTGAAATGGAGACAGAACTTTTCCATTTTTGTTTTTTGTATTTTGTGATTTCTTTTTTCTTTTTTCTTTTCTGTTTGGATGCTATACAGAGGGCTGTAAAAAAGGAAACTGGGGTATAAAATTGAGGACTGAAATGACAAAAACTTTTGGAAATCTGGGATTTTTAACTGATAAATATTTGGTTAGAGTAAATTATAAATTAGTCCTTTTAGTTTTTTGGAACAAATTAAATAGTCTCTCAACATAATTAATTAGTCCCTGTGTTTTTAAATCTATTTGTGTCATAATTATTTTTATTTTTTTAATTTATTTTGTTTTTCTGTTTTAAGAAATAAAAAGAAGTTGAAAAAAAATATTTTTTTAAATAAAATAATATTAAATTAATCATAGTCAGTTTTGGAAGGACTAGTATAGTAAATTAGAGATACTAATCTATAATTTAGTCTATTTAATTATTTAAAAAATAGTATTCAATGACTCTGTTCGTCGATGTTGATATGTTTTGCTGAATTTGAAAGGAAAAGTTGTTCTTATCTGAAAGCTGAATGGATATATATAAAATTTGATGTGCTAAATATCTCTAGCTAGCTAGCGAATTCGTAGTTATCAAGGTTAGAAAACGTTAAAATCTCCTTTTTTAATTATTATTTTCTTGGGAATAAAATCCCCTTAATTTTAGGCAAGGGAATAATTCCTTGCAGGATAAGCAAACTTGGCTACATCAATTCAGCTTGGATAGATCCTTTATTTTTTCCTCTTTTTTTTTTTTTTCAACAATAGAAACAATTGGTTTTGACATTTTGGGCTATACAATTAGAGTAAGTAAACCTCTTTAAGTGATGTGATGTGGTGGTAAGAAAGTTGTTTTAATTTAGTTAATATCAAAGTTTAATTTTTATTATATACAAATAACTAATCATAATTATCATTTGGTAATATTAAGTTTGAACTGGTTTGGTTTAAGAAGAGTTTAATCATCAATCAAAGATTAAACTAATTTCGACACTAACGTAGTTCGGAAGGTGATAAATTTAGTTTTGGTTAAAGCAAAATCTAATTAAAAAATACCTTGATATTTGTAAATATTAAAAAAAATATATAAATAACTCAATTTGTCATTTTAATACCCTAAATCTCTTATATGTCTCAAGCTTTCTAATTATATAATATTTGTTTCTATTTTTTTTTTGAAATGTTCAATGTATTTTTCTGATCAATTTTTTCTACTATATATAAATTTTTTTATTAAAATGCTTTTTACTGAAATGGTAAAAAAAAAACCAAATGACCTATATGTTTTATTTTTGAAGTTTTTAAATTTTTAAATTTTTATTTTTTTTCATATCATTGTGAGGCATTTTTGTTTAAATTTTTTCTTCTATTGCCAGAAAAATTGATTGAAAGAATAGATTAATCATTCAAAAATTTGTAGAGATAGATAGAATATAATTTAAAACATAAGAATACATAGAAAATTCAGATTATCATACAAGGATTGATTGATTGATTGATTTATTTATCCAAAAAAAAAAATTGGATTAGACCTTCTTCCATCCAAAATCAGTACTCCATTCTTTGAAATTTTAAACATGAGACTTTGAATGGACATTAAGTATTAGTAATTACCATCTTTCAGGGTCTATATTGAGAGTTGAACCAAAAACCTAAATTTGATTTACAATATGGACGACATTGAGTACTTGTGGCTTTGGTAAATTTCAAATATCGAGGTACAAGGTTTTGCCAATTTATGGCAGAAAACATAAGGGCGTGGAGTCTTGTACAGTGTAGAATTTCAAGACATGAAATAATTGTTAATAAATTCATGAACTAAACAAATCCAAGGTAAAAAGAACTATTAATGAGAAGAACAAATGTTCTGGATCCAAGTGTACTCCAGCTCTAATTTTTCTTGACAATCAAGTTTACACCAGCGTGGTTGAGCTGGAAGTTCCAAAACCAATAATTCACATGCAAACGGCTAAAAGAATATTTTATAAATGTGAAATCTTTTTATATTGTAAGAAATTATGTGCTCCATAACGTACGGTGACTGCAGTCTTGTCTTGTCTTATTTCTTGAACTTCCCGTTGGAAGTTTTTGGATTGTTTTCCGGATGATGATTGTGGGCTTCAGCTCTTGGTTACCGTGTTTCAATAGTCTGGAGAAGAAAGATTCTTGAACTCATTCATCCCTGTCCTATGGAATCTTCTTTCCACGACACACTTTGAGCTTACATTTCAAAATTTTATCTATTTTTTTCCCCTTCAACGAGGTAGTATCATAGTACTAACCAGTTGCTGACAATTCATTTCTCTTAATTTAGGGTAGTGACTGCAGTAGTAGCAGTTGTAATGGTTACGGTGATAGTTAGAGGTCGTGGTGGTGTTTGTGATGATAATGGATGATGGTTGTGATGGTGATAGTAAAATAGTTAATAAATAATAAATAAATAAAATATTATTATGAAGTTAGTGTGTAAATTATTATTTTCATTACCAATTCATTATTTTCAATCAAACACCTATAATATAAGAATAAAACTTTCATTTACATTTTCATCACTCTATTTCTGATTACCAAACATAACCTTAAAAACAAATAATTTAATAATTTGTATTATGTAATATTGGGTTATCTCACATCGATTGTAGAAGTATACTGAGTGTTTGGTTATAATTGTGAGGAAAAACCTCAATCGCTCGGTTTAAACAGTTTTTTGAAGATTGTTAGGTTATTTTATATCTTGGTTATAGAAGGAGCTAGATCCTTGGTTATAAGTGTGAGGGAGATGAGAAATAGCGAGCTTAGGATCCAATGTGTGAAGGAAGAAATTGTTGGGTTGGATGCTAAGAGAGAAAACCTTACTCTTTGAGCCAAAATATCAAAAATCCATTGAACAGCTTTTTTTAGAATTCTGGAGAAAAGAAAAGTATACATTAGTTTAAGTTATACTGCATCTAACTAGCCGATGGATATTTCCCAAGTTCAAAATCCTTTGAAGAGAAAGAAGAATTCAGGCATCCTGGACTTGGTTTCGTCTCGTGACACGAATGTAGCACAAAACCACTGCAACAACGACTACGACGAATCCACCGAGAATCACATCTCCACCTGCCTCAGACTTGTCAGGATGATGTCTTGCTATCCGCCTGATCGAATGATTTGCAGGGATTACTGTCCCACCTTCTGAAGGCGCTGGACTTGGAGCTGCAGGTGGCTGCGTTAATCCTAACATCCACAGGTCAGCTAGCACCATGCTAAGGAGAAGAACCCTAGCCATCAAATTACTTGATTGTTGTGGCAAACCTTAAATATGTGAACTGAAGTCTTGATGTCATTGTTATATATCCATGCACCAAGACAGCGTTAGATTTGGTCTTACCTGTCAATTTAACAAGAGTATTAGATAAGGCAGTGTTGTGGATCTCTACGCAATAGGGAAGGTGATGCTAGGGGAGGTTTATGTAGGGGAGATAGAAGAATTCAGAGTCTTTCATTGTAGAATCTAGATTTTGAATGTTAGACAGAATGTTGGGTACGAAATGACCATGAGTTTACCGTTGTCTTCCAATCTTGGGCTTTGAATCTCATTGTTTGTCATTTGGGATTGACCCTACAGTTATGCTTTATTGTTTCTTTATTAGCATTTTTTTGAGGGCTACAATTAGTTTTTGTCAATGAATAGGCCATTGTGTCTGTGCTCAAACAGAAATTCTGTGTGTGCTATTTAGTGTCTCAGCTATTCTTACATGAGCTTCAACTTGAATCATATGACTGAAAACGAGGAGGAACTGAGAGTGTGCTTAGTAATGCATTTGAAAGTGCTTATGAAAGTGTGTTTGGACTGAAAAAACACTTGAAAAGACATCAATTTGATGTTTTTTTTCAGTCGAAACACATTTTTACAAAAACACCTGTATCGTATTACATGACACATACTACGTGAAAATGAGAAGGAACTGAAAATGTGTTAGTAATGCGTTTTTCAAAGTGTATTTGGACTAGAGAAACATCAATTTCATGATTTTTCAAGTGCTTTTGGATGGTTTTAATACGCTGATATCGAAAATATAAAAAAAAAAACACACTCGAAAAGACATCAATTTGATGTTTTTTTCAGTCCAAACACATTTTTACAAAAGCATCTGCATTGTATTACCAAACAAATACTAGGTTCGGGAAACTTGGCTTCCGTGTAGTTGAGGCTTTCATAATTTGTCTTCATTCATAATATCTTAACAAGTGAAGGTAAATTATTGGTTTGAAAGCTTGAAAATTGATTTCCATTTGTTGGACTACTGATTTCCTTGCAATATATAAGCAGGGGAGGTGGTGTCTGGAAAAGTCCTGTCTTGGTAGACAAAGATTAAACGGTTTGAAAATGTTAGGAAACAAATTGGTAAGAATTTTCAACATTCAATAGTCTTCCTGCTACTCCAGCGCATCTGCAAATACTTAAAAAAAATCAATTTTTATTTCATGACGAGACTTAGTCCAAACTCTTTGTTCTGCTTTTCAGACTTGTAACATCTTCAACTGGATCACAGTGATTTTTTTTTTTTTTTTTTAATCTCAGACTACTTTTCTTTTCTGCTCTTTGATCAACTTTCTCACAGAAATTTTACTTAGTAACCGCACCGAATTTTATATTAAGCTCCTTATCTTCTACGCAGAAAGATAAAATTGAACTGAACCATATGTTTGGATTCTGAATTGCAATGATACATCAAGGGACTTTTCCTAAAAATTCATAGCTGTGGAACCTGCGAGAGAAATATAGCTGCAGAAAACTAGCAGCTCCCTAAGTGGGATTCTTAAGAGTTTCTACAGCTAAGCCTATCCATCATCATCAAGCTTTGAGGGGCAATTTTACAGGACGAAAACAGACTTTTCTGCATCTTGTCTCAACAAAAACATACTCAATTCTGAAAACGTAACGCATTTGACATTATTGGACTTTCCTCAAGCAACAAGTTTTACCAGTTATTCTTGTTGCTTTATTCATAAATGTCTAGTTAACATACTGACGGCATATCAATGTTGAACCACACAAGACATGATGCTATGATAAATTCGAACTCTAAATTATCAATAATCAGAAGCACTAAAAGGGTCTCTATATGCCTTTAAGGATCTGTATCAACAATTCCCTGGTCTGCTGAACTGTGAGAGTATCACCAAAAGCACCCTGAAATCACATAACGTTTAAGCTTAGAAGACAGAAAAACTGAAGAAAAATTGGAAGACAGAAAAGGTACATCAGAATTACACAATTTTTGGAACGCCCTTTTTTGTTTTTTTCCCTTTTTGTTTCTAAATGTAGGAACCAGGGTGGTACTCTTAGCCTCCTATTAAAAAGGTAGTCTCACTCGTACCCTTACAAGTACTTATCTTGCTGTAAAAATCTGGTTTTGGGGCTTATTTTGCTTGTCATGGAGGTACAGAGGACATCTGCTAAAAAAAGTGACTCCAAATTTCGTGCCTTACCTCAACACTGGCTGTAACAAGCATTGCTCCTCTAGAGGTAGTGACATTGCTGTCAATGAGTTCCAAGCCAAAGCAAGCCATTTTCTCCATCAATCTAGAGAACCGGCCTTTCTTCTTCTCTAAGATGATCTTGATCCAGAGTTTGTCTCCTTCAATGTTAGTCACCTGAACATCTTCCTGCAGATAGCGACATAGCAAAAGAAATACTGGTTAAGACTACAAGAATTATGTAAACAGATTTTCTAGACAAGTAAAACAAGCTGTGTTGAATTATTTTCAACTACAACCTTAATCCCATACTGCTTCATTTCCTCAGAAGCATCAATCTCATTAACTCCTGTCTTGATTTCCTCTTCTGACGATAATGCTTCCATTTCTTGAAGCATGCCAGTAAGAACCTCAACATTTTTCTTCAGCTCCTGGATGTAAGTAATCGCATCCTCAATTATGGTACCCTTGTTCATCTGAATCAAAAACAGCCCAAGAAACCAAAAAACCATAGTTAATTAGTGGCAAGAAATTAAAAAGAAAATCAAGATTTAGAGTAATTACATTTGTGATAATGGGGACTACTGCACGCAATGTCAAGAGCCTGTTACTCAGCTTCTCTCTTCTCCTCCTTTCTGCATGAAGGTTCTTCGATTTGTACCCAACTGTATCATCATAGCTAGTCCTTTTCCTGCTCATCCTCCCCCAAACTCTGCCTTCTTGATCAGCTAATCCCAACTCATTCATGTCTAGATATAATTCCATTGTCTGGAGTAGTTTTCTGATCAAAGGAGAGACAGAGAGAGAGAGGATGAGCTCTCAGATTAATTATTGCTTCAACTGATTAAGGACACTGCGTTCTTGGTTACTTATAAAGCAGTTACTCACACAAGTGAAGGAGAGAATCTTTGGTTGTTTTTAATTATGTGCGTGAGAGAGAATATGGTTAGTTGCATGCAATTTGCCATTTTTTTGGATTTTATTTGTTATGAAATCCTTGAGAAACAAGTAACATTACAATATGGTACTAACTCTTTTCTTTTTTTTTCTTTTTTTGACAAAAATTGTGTTGGTAGATTAATTAAAGGTTAGAAAGAAAATTAATATCGGCATTCAGAATTGTCAAAATCAATAAGAAATATATAAATAAAATAAAATTGTTTTAATTCTAGAATTACACATTTTTTACATAGCTAATTGAATTGAAGATTTTGTTAAGAAAATTGTAACAAATTTCTGTTTCTGCAAGTGGGAAAATTAGAATTATTTTTCCATTTTTTTTTCCTCCTGTGTTTTCAGCTGTTTACTAACTTGGTAATGTTGACTGGAAAGGACAAAAAGTGTGAGGAACGAAGGAGACAATGTTATGTCCTGTTGAAGGACAGTTTTGTTCTCAAAAATGGGTTGGGCCATGCTAAAAATGTGTTAAGGAGTGATGTTTTGTACGAAAACAGAAGCCAGAAACCAAATATTATTGTGTCAGTAAAAGCATTTTCTTTTTCTCTTTTCGCAAAATTTTGGTTGTCAAAGAAGAAAATATCCACTTCGGAGCTAAAATAAGGAATGATAGTTTAAGGATGGTAGGTTACTGAGCACGCATCTTCTTTCTTTGTTTTCAATAAATTGTTCTAAGTACATTACTATGAATAAATTACTTTTTGGGATACACATAAAGAGGAAAGAGTAATATGAGAGAGAGAATTAAAAATAATGAGTTTAGATGAAAATATTTTTATCAATTTTTTTTTATAGAAATCTTAAAGTTTTTTTTTCTCTCTCCTCTGTTTGTGTAGGCTTTTTCAAAAAAAATTTATCGTATAATTAGTAACTAACAATATTAATTTCATAAAAAAAAAAGATAAACACAAAAAAAAAAGAAGAAAAGATAAACATGAGAAAGAATATATATATATATATGAATTTAAGTGAAAAATTCTTTTCATTTTGGATAGGTTCACACACACATATATTATGTATCTTCAAGGTAAATCTAAAAAATAAGTATTGTTAATTATTTATTGGGTATGTTAAATTTTCTCTTACTTCTCCTACAGCTTTGTGATCAAAGCTTACGTTTTGATTTTTCTTTCAGAATTAATTAATTAATTTGCGTGAAAGACTCTCATTTGTCCAAATGGATTAATTATAAAAAACAATTCGTTTTTTTTCATATTGAAAAGTGCTTTCATGGATGGTGGTACTAAATTAAGAAATTTGAAAAGGAAAAAATTGTCAAATAAAATAGTTTTGTACCAAGTCGGTTTTTTACAATACGTTGTAGGCCCAATTAAACCTATTTATTTTAGTTTAATAGCATGTATTATATTAACGATCAACTAAAATATATTAATTTAAAGATAAAAGATTAAATTTCATTAAATTTTATATTTTTTAATGAAAATTTTGCATTAATTTTTTTTGTGTGTATGTTTTTAATAAATTTTATAGTTAAAAAACAAGATTTGTTATTTCTTATGCATATTTTCTTAAATAAAAACCCATAATAATCTAAATATAAAATATTAAAAAATATCTTAATAATTTTTTTATATCATTACATCGAAGAAATAAAACAATAATTAATATAAAAACTTGTATAAAAATAAAAAATCAATCTTTTTTATTATTATTTAATATTGATCATAAGATTAACTTTTGAAAATATTTACATTTGATTTATATATTTTTATTTACAAAAATAATGAATAATGTTAGTATAAAAAGTTGTATTTGAATTGTTAGGTAGTTCAATTCTAAAATATTATTTTAATTTATTTATTTAAAAAAGTTTAGTTTTAAAATATTAAAAAAAAACTAATAGGATATGGTTAGTGTTATGTGTATAGATGCATAGTTAATTTTCAATAAAAATCAATGATTCTAATTTTTTAATACATCATGACCGTACTTAGTGGGTCGAGTATGCAACATAAATAAAAAAAATATTTTTTAAATTAAATTGTAAAAATGCATTGAAATTAATAAAATGCAATAAAAACAACTATAAATTTGATTTTGATAAAATTTGATTATATAAAGAATAAGTAGATAAAAACAACTAAAAAAACTTATTCAAAAATTTATACATAAAGAAAATAAATCATATTTGTTAGCAAATAAAATTACATAAAAAAATATTTTAGAAAAAATTAGAAATCAAAGCGTAATATTTATCAAAACTTGCATATTAAATACCTAAATATAGATTTAAAATTACAAAAATATCATATCAAATGCCTAAATAAAGCTTAAAAATCACAATAATGCCTTTTGATACAATAACATTAAATAAATAGTACTTATGATTGTAAATGAATACTAATTAAATAGCAAAATAAACATGCATGAATACTAATCACTTCAAATATTTTGAGTTTTTTTACAATGTAATCTGATCCAAAATCGACATATGCGAGGCCTGATTTGCGAGATAAAATTATGGCAAATGTTGGTTGTAGGGTAAAGAACCGAAATAGAAATTTGAACATAAATCAATAATACAACATCATCAATACGTCAAATGTTGCAACCAAGAAGCAAATTTACCATAAAACACTTACCAAGGGAGAAGGAAAACAAGAACACTCGGAGGACATAAAGGTAAGAACATAAAAACAAGAAATGACATGCATTCAATGCAGTAACGAAGAGAAGGAAATTGACAATTTAACACCTCGTAAGAGAGAGAAAGAAAATAAGAACACAAAATCAAAGAATGGCAAAATAGAAAAACAAGAGCTAAAAAAAGACGATGCCAAATAGATCACTTACAAGACCCAAAGAAACTGATAAAAAATTAATACCCTTTTTTTTTTTTTTTTTGTTATATACTTGAAAAAAAGTTCTAATTGCCAATGTATTTTAGTCAAAGGTTAACCGAAAATGATTAATCTATTGGCAAGTTATAGGTAATTTCTAATTTTTGTGAATTATTTATTAGTTATGGAGCTATACATATATAATTTGTTAAACCTATGCTATTCATTTTCTTTGATACTGTTAATAAAAATGTTTCTTGTGCAGTCCTTACTCAGTCAGATGTTAAGTTGATCTCCCTTTCAATTAGGATTCTCAATGATGGTTGGAAATTTAGATTTAAGGGCTTGGTAAGAATTTTGTTTTTCCTATCTCTCTTTGAGGTTTGAATTAGAATTCTTAATAAAGTGGGAAAAAAAAATTAGAGTTCAAAAATATTTAATAAGAAATAACAACTATGTTTTATTTAAAAAAGTAAAAAAAAACAAAAAACAAAAAAGAATGAAGGTATAACTTAGAAATTGTGTATTAGATTAATTTGTCCATTAAAAGAGATTGAAGTTCTAATAACTCTACTTTATATAGTTATTATGTATGATATGAATCTTCAAGGATAACTTGGTGGTTGAGTAGTTTGCTCTATATCTTGATTTTTTTGGATTCAACATTAAAAAAATTTATTAAATTTCTATGAATGTATCAAATCGATAGAGAATGTGTGTTTCTAAAATTATTCAAGAAAATACTTAATCTCCATTTATGTACAAGCTAATCTAAAAATACTCTTATTTTTGGAAAAAACAAAAAATTATAATTGGAGATTACTACTCCACTGTACAACGATTATTTGTCCTATTTGAAAAAAATAAAAATAAAAATAAAATCCAAGAATATCATTTGGGTACTTGGGTTCATATAAAATAAATAAATTGCAAATTAGTCCTTTTTTAAAAATAAATTAAATGGTCCCTTTTGTTTTAACACTAATTAATTAGTCTCTTTCATCCATTTCATGTCTTTTTTTATTTATTTTTTATTTCTTTTTAATAACTAGAAAAAGAAAAAAAATTGAATACTATGAAAAGATTGATGAGAAAATAAAATATTTTTTTCAAGCAAATTAATATTAAATTAAGATTACGGACCCAATTAATTAATTTTTAAAATTAGAGGTGATAATTTATAATTTAATTCTTATAAAATCAATCTCTCTTTCGTGCTGGGCTTAGGCCCAAAATATCTGAGACAAACCATTCCAAAAAATATATGGAACGACGAGTCGTGCTTTACCCCTTTCGGGTTCATCCAAGTCTTAAACCCTAGGAATCGAACAGCATCATTCACTAGTCATTTCTACAGACTCCCAGTCTCTCCATAAGCAAAAAAATGTATTTGTCCCGCATTTTCCGCAGCACATTCTGCACCGCCGCCTCTGCCACCTCCGGCGCAGCAACCGACGTTGGCATAGTTAAATCACTCTCAAACGAAGTCTTCAAAGAACGCAGCCACAAACGCCTCGTTGAAAAATTCAAAAAAGCTTCCGAAAATGAGAGGTTTCGCACAAAAGCTGGCATTTATAAAAGCACCGTTCGCCGTCTCGTAGCTGCCAAAAACTTTCGCTTCGTAGAAGAAATTCTCGAGGATCAGAAGAAATATGAGGATATGTCGAAAGAAGGTTTCAATGCTCGTTTGATTTCCCTCTATGGTACATCACGTATGTTCGACAATGCACGCAAGGTGTTTGATGAAATGCTTGAGAGAAAATGCGCTCGGACGGTGCTGTCTTTCAATGCGCTGCTGGGAGCTTGTGTTAATTCGAAGAAGTTTGATGAAGTTGATGGGTTGTTTAGAGGGTTATCGAAGGAGTTACAGATTGAACCCGATTTGGTTTCTTATAACACGGTTATGAAGGCGTTTTGCGAAATGGGTTCGTTGGACTCAGCTGTTTCGTTGCTAGATGAGATGGAGAAGAAAGGTTTGGAGCCTGGTTTGATTACTTTTAACACGCTTTTAAATGGGCTTTATGCAAATGGAAGGTTTGATGTTGGAGAGAGGATTTGGGGGCGGATGAAGGAAAAGAATGTTAAGCCGGATATTAGGAGTTATAACGAGAAGTTGCTTGGATTGGTATTGGAGAAGAGAATAAAAGATGCGGCTAAGGTTGCTGAAGAAATGAAGAGTGATGGGATTGAATTTGACACCTATAGTTACAATGCTTTGATTAGAGGATTTGTTGATGAGGATGATTTGGAGGAAGCCAAGGGTTGGTATGATAAGCTAAAAAAATCTGATTGTAAACCGGATAAATATACTTTCAAGAGATTGATTCCTTTTGCCGTTGAGAAGGGTGATTTAGCTTTTGCTTTTGAGCTTTGCAAGCATGTTCTCAGTAGCAAGTTGCTTGTTAAGGAGGCATTGATACAACCTGTGTTGGATGCATTGGCTAAGGAGTCAAAGATCAATGAAGCAAAGAAGCTTGTGCAACTCAGCAAGGCACGTCGTTCTGATTCTTTAAAGTTGAAATTGCCTTCAATTTAGCCATGAATGGCCTCAGTTGTTTTGTTTTTTCATCTGGTATACCTGCAAATGTTGAGAAAAGAGGTATTTTATCGATCTTTTGGAGTTAAATAATTTCAAACATCTTAGCTTGGAGGTGGTTTTTGATAGTGGTACTCCACATGTCTCTCTTAGTTCGGTTTTGTTTTTTTATAGTAGTGGTAGTCAATGTATGTCCTAACCTGCCGTTCACATCTTCAAGCTTTGCTTTCATTTCTGTGTCAAGGTTGTGTTGGTATGTTTTCTGAATTTTATTCATAAGCAAACCAAATTAAAAGTCCTCTCTTCTAAGTTCAAATTATGTTTCTTCTTTTGGAATTACCTTTTTGTGTGAATGACTCTCATTGTATATAATGTTGAAACTGCTTCGGAGATGGTTGTACTGGATATTTGTGAAATAAAATATCTTTGCTTATGTGCCTCAAACATAGAGGGAATAAAAGTAAATGGGAGATGAGATTCTGCCAGCCTCAGGCAAACAACTTCCTTGTGACTTGAAGTTTTAATTATCAATATAATTTAACCCACAAAGATTAGTACCATAAGTAGTCAAGACTTGACCTAAGTTGCATTCAAGGGGAGATCATGGGTTCAAGTCTTGCCCTTGATTCCATGGATAGCTTGTAAATTTCTAATTTTTGTACACTTGTCTGTGGGGCTTCTTACATTAGGAGGGATGCTTCTTCTGTTAAAAAAAAAAAAAAAAAAAGTAGTAGACCAAAATATCATTAAAATTACAAAACTATCTTCTTTAATTATCCCTTCTCTTATTTCTTGTTAGGATTAGGGATTAGGGATTTTGGAAGCAATTTTTTACCAAAGGGAGGCCATTTTTTAGAGAGAGCCATTGCAACTATTTTTCCTCCAAACCCGAATACTAGACCCAAAACTTTTTCCTCCTTTTCCTTCACTCGAATCCCAAAACTCATTTACTCCTTCTCCCTCACCTGTTAAGCCACACCCTACCAGCCATCCAATGCCAACCTCTTTCTAACCACCACAACATCAGGCGTTCCCTGCAGCCACATCATTAGCCTCCAACGTTTCGGCCACCACAACACTGGCCTCTACCTAACAAATCCTCATTGAAACCTTGCTGTCAAAACCTTCTCTTGCCACTAACCTTAGCGTCAAGAGCCATCCTCCTCTCGCCACAAGCCCCAATCTTAACACCGGCCACATAACCCAACCAAACACTCTTGACCACCATCTCTTCAAGCTAAATGACGCCAACCCTCTAAGAAAACCGATCGTCTACCTCTAGCCACCGTTGTACCAAATGCCGTCCAAAAACCCTTACAAGTTACAACCACTTCTATTTCAAATCGCCACAACCACTCCAGCCTAGCCACTTACGCCGGATCGTCCACCAAACCTTCCTCTCATTGCCATCAAACAATCACTGCCATCAGACCTTTTCTCTCCCTAACTAGAAACAAGAGAGGAGACAAATGAAAAGGTGAAAATGATTTTAGGATAGTCTTATAATTTCAATGATTTTTTTATTTTTTTTCATGTGGGAAATTAATCTAATGTGTATGTGCCATGTTGAATTCTTTATGTCAGCTGTCAGATTTGATCGAAATATTGGCTAAAAAAAAAAAATGGAAGTCATGTTAAACAAAAATTGAAGAGTAGGAAGGGCGGTTGAATAAATAAAATAAAATAAAATAAAGAAGTCGCATTAAGAAAATCACAAAAGTAGAACAACTTTTAATGCGATTAAACCTCTAAATATATATAAAACAGAAAATCCCCAATATAATTTGCAAAAATCGGTAAATTAATCTATTTAATCTCCATTTGTAGAAAGTACTTGCTTAATAGGGAAAAAAAACAATCAATGCATTGTACAAGTTATATGCATTATAAAAATGCTATGATATAAATATAAAAATAATAACATTGTTATATACTAAATTATTAGTATTAGTTTATGATTTAGTGTAGCTTTTTTTATCTGGTATTTGATTATGCAGTCTTTAATTATAATTAAGAAAGATATGAAAAAGCTATGGTGGTTAATATATATATAAAGCGAAGGGAAGTATAAGCTCAAATTAGTTTCTCAGGCCCAAGCCCCTAACTATAAACGACAGCCTTCAAAAAGACTAAGCGACAGGTCGCGTTAATGGTGCACCTAAGAACCCTCCGTAAGCCTCGCAACCACAACACTCTCCCAAAGCCCTCCCAAAAGAACGGGATGTCGTCTCTTTCCCGCCTTATCCGCCGCACATTTTCCTCTGCCGCATCCGCCGCCGCCACCACTACTGCTACATCCGTCACCTCCGCCAAAGCCAAATCACTCTCTCAAATACTCTACGAAGAACGTAACCTCAAGGAACTCGTCGAAAAATTCAAAAATGCCTCCTTAGACGATCACTTTCGCACCAGAAATGATATTTACAAAGTAACCATCCGCCGTCTTGCAGCTGCTAGGAAATTTCATTACGTAGAAGAAATTCTAGAGGACCAGAAGCAATATAAGGATATGTCAGCAGAGGATTTTAATGCTCGTTTGATGAACCTTTATGGTATAGCGGGTATGTTCGATAATGCACGCAAGGTGTTTGATGAAATGCTTGAAAGAAATTGCCCTCGGACGGTCATGTCTCTTAATGCGCTGTTGGGGGCATGCGTTAATTCGAAAAAGTTTGATGAAGTAGAAGGGTTGCTTAAAGGGTTATCGAAGGAGTTAAAGATTGAACCAGATTTGGTTTCGTATAATATGGTCGTTAAGGCTTTTTGCGAGATGGGGTCATTGGATTCGGCAGTTTCTTTGCTAGATGAGATGGAAAAGAAGGGTCTTGTGCCTGATTTGATTACTTTTACTACGCTTTTACATGGGTTTTATGAGAATGGTAGGGTTGATGACGGAGAGCGGATTTGGGATCGTATGAAGGAGAAGAGTATTGAACCTGATTTGATTACTTTTAATACGCTTTTACATGGGTTTTATGCGAATGGAAGGTTTGTCGACGGGGAACAGATTTGGGATCGAATGAAGGAGAAGAATGTTGAACCTGATAATAGGAGTTATGGTGCCAGGGTGCTTGGAATGGCATTGGAGAAGAAAATGAAAGATGCTGTTAAGGTTGTTGAAGAAATGAAGAGCAGGGGCCTTAAACTTAATCACTTCATTTACCATGATTTGATTAGAGGGTTTGTTAATGAGGATGATTTAGAGGAAGCTAAGCATTGGTATGGTGATATAAGGGAAAATGGGTGTAAACCAAATAGATATACTTTTGAGACATTGATTCCTTTTTCCGTTGAGAAGGGTGATTTAGCTTTTGCTTTTGAGCTTTGCGAGCATGTTATCCTTAGCAAGTTTGCTGTTAAGAAGACATTGATACAACCTGTGGTGGATGCTTTGGCTAAGGAGTCAAAGATTAAAGCAGCAAAGGAGCTTGTTCATCTCGGGAAATCACGTCGTCCCCATCCTTATAATTTGAAATTGCCGCGTAGCAGTGAAATGTCCTCTCTAATTTCGGTTTTTCATCCGGTATAACTGCAAATGTTGAGAAAAGGAGGATTTGTGGAGCTAGGAGTTATATAACCCGAAAGATCTTAGCTTGGAGATGCTTTTTGATCAGTGGCACTCCTCATTTCTCTCTTAGTTCGGTTTTGTTTTTTTTTATTGTAGTGGTAGTCAATGTATATCCTAACTTGCCATTCACATTTTCAAGCTTTGCTTTCATTTCTGTGTCAAGTTTGTGTTGGTATGTTTTCTCAAGTTTATTCATTGTATACAATATTGAAAGATTATGCAATCTTTTCACTTTCGAAACTGCTTCATAGATGGTTGTACTAGCAAGGAAACATTTGTCAAACAAACTATCTTGCTTATATGCCTCAAACATAGGCAAATTAACTTCCTTGCGACTTGAAAATTTAATTTTCAGTATAATTTAACCCACAAAGATTAGTAATATAAGTAGTCAAGACTTGACCTAAGTTGCATTCAAGGGAGATTATGGGTTCAAGTCTTACCCTTGATTCCATGGATAGCTTGTAAATTTCTATGTTTTGTACACTTGTTTGTGAGGCTTCTTACACTAGGAGGTATGCTTCTTCTGAAAAAACATGACTAACCCTTAATCTCACATGTAATGGATAACTAGTTATATGTCCGAAAGAATCTATAAATATCTCGTTACTTATAGATATAAATATAACAGGAAAATCATCAATATAATTTGCAAAAATTGGTAAATTAATCTATTCAATCCCCAATTGTGGAAAGTAGTTGATTAATAGAGAAAAAAAAAAGAAGAAGAAGAAGAAAAGAAAAGGAAAACATCAATTAATTGTACAAGTTATATGCATAAAAAGAAAATGTATGATTAGTAAAAATTAATATATAATATTGTTATACTAAATTATTAGTAATAGTGTATGATTTATTGTAGTTTTGTTTTTATTTTTATTTTTTTCTGGTATTTGATTTTGTATTCTTTAATTATAATATTGTATTCTGGTATTTGATATATATATATATATATATATATATATATTAAAAAAAGAGTGAAGGAAAGCACAAAACGATAGCATTCAAAATGTTTTAGCGACAGGTCGTCTATTGGTTTAATGGTGCACCTGAAAACCCTCCACATGCCTCACAGCCACAACGCTCTCCCTAAACCCTCCCAATAGAACAGGATGTCGTCTGTTTCACGCCTTCTCCGCGGCATATTTTCCTCCGCCGCCGCCGCCACCACAACATCCGCCACCTCCGCCGCAGCAACTGACGCCTCCAAAGTTAAATCACTCTCTCAAATACTCTACAAAGAACGTAACCTCGAGGAACTCGTCGAAAAATTCAAAAATGCATCCTTAGATGATCACTTTCGCACCAGAAAGGATATTTACAAAGTAACCATCCGTCGTCTTGCAGCTGCTAAGAAATTTCATTACGTAGAAGAAATTCTAGAGGACCAGAAGCAATATAAGGATATGTCAATAGAGGGTTTTAATGCTCGTTTGATTACCCTTTATGGTATAGCGGGTATGTTCGATAATGCACGCAGGGTGTTTGATGAAATGCTTGAGAGAAAATGCGCTCGGACGGTCATGTCTCTTAATGCGCTGTTGGGGGCATGTGTTAATTCGAAAAAGTTTGATGAAGTAGAAGGGCTGCTTAAAGGGTTATCAAAGGAGTTAGAGATTGAACCAGATTTGATTTCGTATAATACAGTCGTTAAAGCTTTTTGCGAGATGGGGTCATTGGATTCGGCAGTTTCTTTGCTAGATGAGATGGAAAAGAAGGGTCTTGAGCCTGATTTGATTTCTTTTAATACGCTTTTACATGGGTTTTATGCGAATGGAAGGTTTGTTGACGGGGAGCAGATTTGGGATCGAATGAAGGAGAAGAATGTTGAACCTTGTACTAGGAGTTATAGTGCCAGGGTGCTTGGAATGGTATTGGAGAAGAGAATGAAAGATGCTGTTAAGGTTGTTGAAGAAATGAAGAGCCGGGGCCTTAAACTTGATCCCTTTATTTACTATGATTTGATTAGAGGGTTTGTTAATGTGGATGATTTAGAGGAAGCCAAGCATTGGTATGGTGATATAGGGAAAAATGGGTGTAAACCAGATAAATCTACTTTTGAGACATTGATTCCTTTTGCCATTGAGAAGGGTGATTTAGCTTTTGCTTCTGAGCTTTGCAATCATGTTATCCTTAGCAAGTTGCATGTTAAGGAGGAATTGATACAATCTGTGGTGGATGCTTTGGCCAAGGAGTCAAAGATTGAAGCAGCAATGGAGCTTGTTCATCTCGGGAAATCACGTCGCCTCCATTCTTTTGAGTTGAAATTGCCGCGTAGCGATGCGAAGCCCTCTCTGGTTTCGTTGTTTCATCAGGTATAACTGCACATATTGAGAATTTTGTGGAGCTAGGAGTTAAATAACTCGAAACATCATAACTTTGGATATGCCTTTTGACCAGTGGCACTCTACACTTCTTTCTTAGTATGGTGTTGTTTTATATTGGTAGTCATCTATGCCCTTTGTAACTTGTCATTGACATTTGCTTGCTTTCCTTTCTTTTGTATGTCAAGTTTGTATTTTTGAAAAGTAATGTTAGCCATTAAGAAAAAAACTTAATGAGTTTCAACAGGAAACCATTAGATTAGTGATATCTACCATTAGATCCCATATTAAGATCGTGATTGGATGACACACAAATCTACCTCTTATTTTTTAGTTGGGGATATCATAATATTAAGGATAAATATGTTGATCTATACTTATATAATATCGAAAATCTTCTATTTGTCTCTAGGTTCTTACTGCATCCTAATTTGTTGTTGAAATTTTTTAAAATGTTCAATTTATCTTTTCGATTAAATTTTTCGATCACGAATAATTTTTTTATCGAAATATCCTTTACTAAAATGTGAAAAAAAAACATTTAAAACTGCTTGACTTGCATGCTTCATTTTTTAAAGTATTTAGATTTTAATTAATTTATTTATTTATATATATATTTTTTTTCATATTTGAATGAGGGGTATTTTGGCTAAAAAAAAATTTTTATAATAGACAAAATTGATCACATTGAACAATATAAAGACAGACTTATATATTTATCCTAATATTAAAACAATTTTTGAAACTGAAATATTAACTAGTAGTTTTAAGATTGGGAGAATTCAGATACCTATTTTATAAAGAAATATAAGGTCAGCTAAGTCGAGCTTCTGTCGCATAGTCTCTTCTAAAATTGCATGAATTGATATTGTTTTTCTTCATGGTTTTTACACAGAAAAAAAATAAGACGAGATAAATCAACTACAGAAGTGAAAGAGTTAGACCACTTTTCAATATCTATGCCAGTTTGGAATTATTAATTAATTCTAATACCAAATTAATTGTTTAAAAAACATTTCTATGATGAACATGCCACATCAATTTTATTAAAAAAAAAAAAAGTTAATGCCCTCACTTGTTTTTATATAATAGATTAAACTAGTTTTAGCGGGGGTTGAATAAAATATATAAAATCATTTTAAAAAATTATTTCAATTTGATTATCTATTTTACGAGTGTGAATCTATAAAAATATATGAATCAAAAGTGTAAAAAATTATTTAATAAAAATTTTTGTATTTAACTATTTCTTTTTTTTTTTTCATAATTTTTCCTTTAGAAAGATGATTCATCCTTGTTAATTCATAGATCATTAACTAAAAAGAAAATTGAATAATTTTTAATTTTTTTTTAGTATTTCATAAGATTGTGTCGAAAAACATAAATAACAATTATTAAAAGCTTACATAGAATTGAATAAATAATTTTTTTAATTTAATGTTGATGAGAATATGGGTTTTTGAAAAAATATCAATTTAATTTTTATATATTTATTTACAAAAGAATGAATAATATTAAAATAAAAAACTATATTAAGCAGAACATTATTTTAATTATTTAATTTAAAATAAGTTAATTTTAAAATATTAAAAAAATAAATAAATAATAAATGCTTAGTGTAGTAGTAGTTGCACGAGTTGATTCCTAAAAAACAACGATTCAATATTTTTCTCTACATCATAACTATATTAAGCAACTTTAAAGTTTTCGAGTCTAAAACAAAAAATATTATAAAAAGTTAACTTGCAAGGAATATAGTAACTAAATTTGAAGTTAATAGACTAAAATAAAAATTATTAAAAAACTGATTTCAAATAATTTTGATTATATAAAGAAGAAACAAATTAATAAAACATGTGAATTCTTTTTCTTTTATTTTCCCCTCCTTCTTAAACATTTTTTTATTTATATGTTATGCATGGCTAGTCCTTGAATATATAGGCCTCACGCACAGAGCAAACATCTTCTTTTTATTTTTCACATTTGACTTTCAACTTTTAATTAATTAATTTTGAGTTCTTTTCTAAAAAACCAAGAAAAAAATATTTGAAATACACATTTAATCTAAAAATATATTTTAGACAAATTATATATATTAATCATGCCACTATAATTTAAAAGTTATCTAAATCTATTTTTCAAAAGAAAAAATAATCATGTTCTAAAAATTTATTTCAAAATCCATACATATAGAAAAATAAATCAAAAGCTGTTAGTAGATATAATTTTAAATTAATTAGATGAGAATTTAAAAAAAAAAACATAAATTAGTAAATTTTAAATAATAAAAATAATTAATAAAAAACACTAAAACAAAATTGGAAGAAATCACAATATAATCAAAGTTTGAAATTGAACAAAAAAGGAGAGATTTTTTTTTAAAAAAAGATAAATTAATGTAGTAAATTTTAAATAATAAAAAAATTGAGAAAAAATTATTTGAAAAAAAAATTTAATCTAAAAATTTATTTCAGATATATATATATCATGCCACTATAATTTAAAAAGTATATAAATCTATTTTTTTAAAAAAAATAATAATGTCCTAAACATTTATTCCAAAATCCATACATATAGAAAAATAAATCAAAACTGTCAATAAATATAATTTTAAATTAATTAAATAAGAATTAAAAAAATAACAAATTAAAGTAGTAAATTTTAAATAATAAAAATAATTAACAAAAAATACTAAAACAAAATGGGATAAAATCACAATATAATTAAAGTTTGAAATTGAAAAAAAGAAGAAGGGAATTTAAAAAACAAATGACAAATTTTGTAGTAAATTTTAAATAATATAAAAAACTGAGAAACAAATATTTGAAATATACTTTTAATCTAAATATGTATTTTAGAAAAATTAGATATATTAATCATGCCACTATAATTTAAAAATGATTTAAATCTATTTTTCAAAAGAAAAAATAATCAACTTCTAAAAATTTATTTTAAAAAATGTCAGTAAATATAATTTTAAATTAATTGAATGAAAATTTTTTAAAAAATGATAAATTAAAGTAGTAAATTTTAAACAATAAAAATAATTAATAAAAAAAATACTAAAATAAAATGTGACCAAATCACAATATAATTAAAGTTTGAAATTGTAAAAAAAATAATTAAATAAAAGAGAGAGAATTTTAAAAATAATAATAAATTAATGTAGTACATTTTAAACAATAAAAATAATTAACAAATTAAAGTTTGAAATTGAAAAAAAAAAGAGAATTTAAAAAATGAAAAATTAAAATAATTAAAAAAAAAAAACACTAAAACAAAATGGGATCAAATCACAATACCATTAAAGTTTAAAATTGAAAAAAAATTTTTAAAAATTTGAGGATCAAAGTGTTAAAAAATGATATAAATAGTAAAAGGAATAGTAATTTGTAAATGTGTGAATAGTATTTTAAATAGTGAAATGAATAGTAAAATTATGTTTTACTTTAGTTTGTTTTATAATTTTTAATCTATCTCTACAAAACATGCCTATAATTTGTATTTATATTTTGAGCTAGTTTTTAATCTATTTTTTAGTTAAAATTTTTGAATGAATTAAATCAAATTAACATATAATTTATACATAATATGTGATTTGATAAAATTATCTTTGTTATTTGACACAAGTAACATATATTTACTAATATGAAAGATAAATTAGAAAAAATCTCAAAATACAAGGAAAGATTGAAAGTATTTTTTTTAAGGAAAAATTGAAAAATTGGCCTATACTATAAGGGCAGGTAAATGTATTAAAAATATATATATATATATATATATATATATATATATATAATTAAAAACGACATTAAAAAGGTTTTATTGATCAATATAAAAGAGTAGAGTGAGAATGGTATCCAAAAGATAAGCTCAAATTAGGGTCCAACAGACTCTTAAGAGCCTGATTTCAGGCCCAAAGTAGACGACAGCTCATTTAGAAAGCAAAGGACGGGTCGGGTAATACTTTCTTGGACCCTCGAAAAGCCTCAAGAACCCCATAGTACACTCTCTAAAGCCACTCCACGAAAAAACAGGATGTCGTCCCTTTACCGCCTCCTCCGCCGCACATTTTCCACCGCTACCTCCGCCGCAATCGCAGACAACTCCAATTCCAAAGCCAAATCACTCTCTAGAGAAATCTATAGCGAACGCAATTTTGAGCAACTCGTAGAAAAATTCAAAAATGCATCGGTGGATGAGCGCTTTCGTAAAAAACATGCAGTTTACAAAGAAACAATTCGCCGTCTCGCAGCCGCCAGGAAATTGCACTACGTAGAAGAAATTCTAGAGGACCAGAAGAAGTATAAGGATATATCAAAAGAGGGTTTTAATGCTCGTTTGATTACTCTTTATGGTTCAGTGCGCATGTTCGATAATGCACGCAAGGTGTTCGAGGAAATGCTTGAAAGAAAATGTGATGTGACGGTCTTGTCTTTTAATGCGCTGTTGGGGGCTTGTGTTAACTCGAAAAAGTTTGATGAAGCAGAAGGATTATTTAAAGGGTTTTCAAAGGATTTAGAGATTGAGCCAGATTTGATTTCGTATAATACTATCCTTAAGGCATATTGTGAGATGGGTTCATTGGATTCGGCAGTTTTGTTGCTAGATGAGATGGAGAAGAAAGGTTTGGAGCCTGATTTGATTACTTTTAATACGCTTTTATTTGGGTTTTATGTAAAAGGAAGGTTTGTTGATGGGGAAAATATTTGGAAGCAAATGAAAGAGAAGAATGTTAAACCAGACAGATATAGCTATAACGCGAAGTTGCTCGGATTGACATTGGATAAGAGAATGGAAGATGCTGTTAAGGTTGTTGAAGAAATGAAGAGTGAGGGAATTGAACTTAACACCGTTAGTTACAACGCTTTGATTAGAGGGTTTGTTAATGAGGAGGATCTGGAGGAAGCTAAGCATTGGTATGGTGAGACAGTGAGAAGTGGTTTTAAACGAGATAGATTGACTTTCGAGAGATTGATTCCCTTTGCCCTTCAGAAGGGTGATTTTATCTTTGCTTATGATGTTTGCAAGGATGTTCTCTCTAGCAAATTGCATTTTCAGGAGGCGTTGATGCAACCTGTGGTGGATGCATTGGCTAAGGAGTCAAAGATTAAAGAAGCAAAGGAGCTTGTGCATCTTGGCAATGCACATCGTGACTGTTCTTATAAGTTGAAATTGCCTTCAATTTAGCAATGTAATGACCTCTCTGGTTTTGAGTTTTCCTCTGGTTAAAGCAAATGTCGAGAAAAGAAGGATTTTATGGAGCTTTTGGAGTTAATAATTTTAGCTTTAATTTTGATTAGTACTACCCCACACTCCTTTGTTAGTTTGGTTTGGCTTTTTATGGTAGTGGTATGACTTTACTTAGACATTGACATTTGCAAGTTTTGCTTTAATTTTATGTTAAGTTTCTATTGGTATATTTGCTAATATTCATTTTCATGTTGTTCTGAATCATGTCACTGTTGAGTGTGTGTTGTGAATGCACTAATGAAGTCATAAGCTTGATAAATTGCTTTGCTGTGCAATTTCTTGTATTTTACAGTACCTCATCTATTCAATTTTTTTTTCATAGTACGGTTTGCCTAGATACCAGTTTTGGCTGTAAGTTTATTTGACCTTTGAGAAATAGTCAAAGCTAAAAATCAAATCAAGTGGATCCGACGGAAATGTGCATGGATTGGAGTTTCCTTCCATCTCCTCTGCATTTACAACTATAATTGAAGTTAGAGCACTTGCATGAGAAAATATGGTATTTTATTTTAAATTTGGCTTGTTGGAAAATTTATTATAATAATTCATTATCTTGAGATGTTATTTCTTTCTGTATTCTCTGTAAATATCGGAACTGAAAATGTTATGTTTTTTCCGCATGTGAAGTTACAGCTGGTTTACTATTAGATACAGTCCCATGAAATGAAGTTAATGGTCCCTATGTATTGTTCTTTTGCTAAACATGATGTTTTGCAGCCAATTGATACTGTTATGGGGACAGCATATTGTCACGGACTTGGCCTTTATAAAAATCCCTCTTTTAGGCGGAGCGTAACAATATGCAAGTCATCATTTTACGATGGCTTGCCACTCGAGGAGTATAAACTGATACAGTACTCAGTGCTGTTTCAGATAACTCTTTCTTCCTCCTTGTGTGCATGGGTGTGTGACTATTCGAAACAGGTTTCTTCTTCCTTGTGTGCATGTATGTGTGTATTTAGATGCCTGTACCCAATATATTGTGTACATTCTGCAGGAAGTTCATCGAATCCATGCTTGATTTCCATAAAGCGGCATCTAAGAGGTTTGATTGTACGATGAACCAGCGTTTGAATGGCAAAGCAGCACCTCATGTAAGACCTCATGTAAGATTTCTAAGTTATCCCAAGCTAGATATATAGCTCGGGGTATCTGGAGGGTGGATTTCTCCATTTCTCATGATCTTATCAGCTGGTTTTAAATTCATTTTGCAAGGCTGAGAAGAAAGTAATGACTGATGTTTGCTACTTTTTGTGTTAAAATGTGCATTAAAATTGCGTAATTTCTGTTTTTGGAACTGATTTGTCAGTGGCTGATCGCTCCATTGAACCTGTTGAATCAGATGAGCTCTGCTATAATTCTTATTTGCTTTAGGATTTTGCAGCTTCTAGCTGTCGGTATGGGATGACAAAAAAAAAAACCAGTCTTTTTAGATATCTAGTGGATACCCATTGGGTGGAGAAAGTCCTCCACCCGACTTGATCGAATTGGAAGCAAAAGCATAGGTAGATATATTTTTAGATCGATAACTAATCAAAATTTCCTTACCATCTTAGAAACAAATTTAATTTCATAAAAAATATTTTGAAAATAATATTTTTTATCTTCATTTAAAAAAAAATTACAGAGAATGAATTGATATATTTTCACCTTTTTTTATTTTTTTTTTCAAAATTTATTTATTTAAATTCGATAAAAAAAAGAAGAAGCAAGATTGAAAAGAAAAAAAAAAGATGAGATTAAGAAAAAAAAAAATAACATCATTAGTTCAAAAATGAAGGAAGGAAACAGATTAAAATAAAAACGAAATGTAAAAAGATTAACTTAAGATAAAACTTGTCTTAACATCATTAGTACTCCTGAGTCTTGTCTCAAAAATATATGTAGGGGAAAAAAATAAATAAATAAATAAAGCAAAGAAATGGAAGTTCTTAAATCCCAACCGTTAGAAACACAGCTCTTAAAACTCTCTCTCTAGTCTCAAGAAGCTGAAACAAAACCCACAATGAGCAAATTGTCCTCTGCCTGTGGCCGCCTCCGTGGTATCTTCAAAAGATCTCCCTCCTTCAAACCGACCGCCATCGCCACCACCAAAACCAAAACCGTCACCAACACCAAACCAACCAAAACCTCAAATCCCACCAACAAAAAACCAGGCACACTCGAAAAAATGGTAGGGAAGTTCAAGAAATCATCAGAGTTCAGCTCATTCCGATCCCGCTACGACATATATGCAAACACCGTCAGTCGTTTAATCAAATACAATAGACTCCCCATGATCCATGAAATCCTTGACCACCAAAAAAACTTCCCTGACATAACAAACGAGAACTTCACGGCCCATCTCATTCGATTATATGGCAAAGCCGGCATGTATGATCACGCACGCAAACTGTTTGATGAAATGCCCGAGCTAAATTGCCCTCGCACAGTTTACTCATTTAATGCCCTTTTATCGGCCTGCATTGACGCAGGCAGGTTTGATGAGATTAATACGATGCTTCAGGATTTGAGGTTTGTGTTGGGAATAACTTTTGACGCAGTTTCTTACAATATTGCTATTAAGGGCTTCTGCAGGATGGGTGATTTGGAGTCTGCTGAATTGATGGTTGATGAAATGTTAAAGAGAGACGTAGAGCCGAATTTGATCACATTTAATACGCTCTTAAATGGGTTTTATTTGAATGGCAAGTTTATTGATGGAGAGAGGATTTGGAGTCGAATGGGGGAGATGAGTATTGCGCCTGATATAAGGAGTTACAATGCGAAGTTGCATGGATTGGCGTTGGAGAAGAGAATGGAAGAAGCTATTGAACTAGTTGAGGAAATGAGAGGTAAGGAGTTGAAACTAGATGTGTTTAGTTTTAATGCTTTGATTAGAGGATTTATTAATGGTGAGGATTTGGAGGAAGCTAAGCAGTGGTATGGTGAGATGAGGAGGCTTGGTTGCGCGCCGGATAGAGTGACTTTTGAGCTTTTGATTCCCTTTCTCTGTGAGAAGGGTGATGTTGGTTTTGCTGTTGAGATTTGTGATGAAATATTTGAGAGGAAGTGGTATGCGCCAACTGAAGTATTGCAGCATGTAGTGGATAGATTGGTTATGGAGGATAAGATCCAAGATGCAGAGAAGCTCGTCCAAGTTGGAAAGAAACGCAAACATGAACTTATCATACTATGAAATTGCTTGCAAATGAGTGGTACAAAGATTGCCAAAGCAGATGCAGAGAAAGAAAATGTTCTTACCTTATTCTGCTTGGTGCTATGCTAAGTTTTAGACAAGGCGAGTAATCCATCTTTCTTCAGCAAATATCTTATCCAGTTATTGTTGTCACCCTATCTTAATCATAGTTTTAATTTGGGGATAATTGCATTATGAGTGCACCAACTTTTAACTTTTTTGAAATTGATAATATGAACTTTAATTTTGTTTTTTTAGTACATCAATTTTTTTCAAACCTACAAATCTAGTACTTTTGTTAACCGATGACATGTTTATTAGTTTCAGAATATCAAATTACAATTTTACTTTTTTATCTTAATGGAGTATAGAAACTTTAATTTTTTCTATTTGAGTATATAATCTTTTTTAAAATTGTGAATCGAGTACTTCTATTAATTTTTCTATAAACTCGATGACATATTCGAATGCCTAATTATATTTTTTCTTTTTTTATTGTAAGTAATTTTTTCTCCAAATTATTCTACTATTTTAAAATTTGATGAAGAATTAAAATATATATATTAGTTATGAAATTTCGAACTGAATTTAGTTAAGCTTGTTGTTTAAAAAATAAAAAACTCAATCAGGTTTTGGGTGTGAAAATTGAAGAAAACATAAACGTGAGATTTTTCATCAAGAAAATTCATTTGTGTTTTTCTTCAATTTTCACTCCTAAACCTAATTGAGTTTTATTTATTGATTTATTTTTACAATAATCTAACTGAGTTTAGTTTGGTATTTCATAGCTAAATATATATATATATATATTGTCAAATTTTGAAATGATAAAATTATTTGAGAAAAAGTTTCTTTAAAAAAAAAAAGAGGATAAAATTATAATTTTGTATTCAAATACATCAGCAGTTAAAAAAAAAAATTGATAGAAGTACTTAATAGATATTTTTGAAAAAAATTGATGTACTTAAAAAAAAATTAAAGTTTATGTACTCGATTGAGAAAAAAATATAAAATTCTAATTTGTTATTCCGAGCATAACAGATCACATCATCGATTAGCTGAAAATACGATGTAAGTATTTGATTGATAATTTTAAAAAAATTATACTTAAACAAAAAAATTAAAATTCATATACTTGATTGAAAAAAAGTTAAAAATTAGTGTACTCATATTGCAATTATCTCTTTTAAATTGCTAACATTATTTATCACTATATTAAGATAACAATAATGACAATTGGTGTTGTGAATGCATTAACAGGCTAGTTGTTGTTAATATATTTATTCTGATTCACATAATTTTAAGAGTTTTAATAATTAAACATAATAATAACTTCTTTAATAACTTAATATCGTACAACAATAATTGAATTTATTACAAAAAAAAAATTAATAACACTTCTAATAATTTAATATCACACAATCAAAAAAAAATACAATTAATTAATTTTTTTAATATAAAAATTGTTATTCATCAAATAATTGCATTATATAACTGTAACTATATATAAAATCATTATTTGTCTAGAATGCCATTGTGCTCCCTATAATGACGTGTGACAATAATAGATATATCTAAATTATGTTATATAAAGAGCATTATCTAGAACTATGATCCTAATGTTGAATATTCACCTTCCGAAGAGAATTGGTGCAACACAAACATTACAATCATCAATTGGACTTCAATCTTATCCAAGTTGGGATTCTTCAAGTTAACAACATTTGCAAAGCCATCAAAATAATTGTTTATCAATTTCATTATATATGCAGTTTCTTGGGAGGCTGGTGCTATTAACTTGGCTGTCAGCTTCTTATTCATGGAAAAATGTTAGTTTACTAAAAACAAGGTCCTATTCTATGCTTGTCATTCTTTTATCAGTAATTAAATGAAAGGATATTAGGGCATTTCAATAGTTTGGTGCTTCCGATCAGGGCAAATTGACCAGGAAAGATTGTTTTGTTCTTCCCAAAAAAAAAAAAAAAAAGCTATTTATAATTACATGTGCTACGGGTAAATTAGTTTCTCAAGTCTCAACTTGGTGTAAGATTATATCATACAACTAGAAGTAATAAACATAATAACAAATGAACACTATCCTGTTCAAGTTTCTTTATATTGTTGTATGCTATCAAGCACACATTGTATTTCTACAAGCAAGCATCTCATGATTTTTCCTCAAAATCAACATCAATGATCTCAGGATCGGACTTTGAACGCCTGGTCCCTCTACCACCTCCAGAAAAGAAGTCCCTAGGTCCACCGCCTGAAAAGTCCCCCTTCGGCTGCCACACGATGTTCCCACAGCCACCACAACGAATCACTTGGTTCTTGTAACCAACGAACTGTCTTCTACAAGCTGGACAAGCTCCCTGTCCAAATTTGATATATGCAAGGACTAGTGAACCTCTATACTAATTTACAAACTAACACAAATAAAGACATAAACAGAAGATGGCGTGCAATAACTTAAGCAGTCCAATCAAGAAATCTGTTCAAGATATTTAAATTCTTGTTGTATTAAAAGATGAATGGCATTAAGCCATTCGATCAAGAATTAAGCATGAAATTAAAACTCTCAGAGTTTATAGCTACCTCGGACCATTTGGAGTTTATGGATCAAGAAATTCAGAGTTCTAAACGTGTAGCACATAAGATGCACTATGTGGATAACATACATAAATACATATACATATACATACATACATACGTACGTACGTGTGTGTGTGTATATATATATATATATAGAGAGAGAGAGAGAGAGAAGACAAAATTTGAGCATTTCAAGCCTTTTTTTTTTTTTTCCTTCCAAGAAAAACAAGATGAAAAAGTTGTGGCAGTTTCATTAAATCTATTGTCAGATCTCCTAAAAACAATTGGTGTGCAATACATAGAACAATGAAGCAAATGTAAGATATGTCCTAGAACATTACAGAATCCACAAGAAGCAAAGTAATATGGACAACCTGGAAGGAAAGTACTCAATTTTCCAAAGACTCAATGGTATTGCTCAATCATCAAAATAGCAGTGTTTGCAATTGAATAAAATATGTTGCGCTCAATTGTCTTAATCAAATAAGAACTAGCAATTCCTAATTTACTAAGATCACTAGTACAATTAAAAAACTAATGAAGAAGTTTCCTCAGTTACAACGGATTTTCTAAATTAATACCAACAAAATTAATTGATGATACCACCAAAATATCCTTTCAACCAATTGTTTTGCCAATAACAATAAAGTCAAAAGCAATGTGCCATAACCAGTGATACCTTAATAACAAGATTATTCGCCAAAGTCCCAATGAGAAGAGGTCCAGCAATCGGAAGAACCCATGTAGCAAATATCAAGAACCGAAACATCCATCCAGATAATGCAAACCAGAGGAAAAAAATAGTCTAAAAAGGCAACAAACAAAGCAACTACATAAGTAATTCTAAATGTGATCTAGAAAACAATTAGATAATTCGAAAAGCACAACCAATGGACAGGAAAACTCTTCATTCAAACTTCTACTTCCAGAGATTTTCACCTATTAACATTCCTATGAATTTACATCTATGTGTTGCATTTTCCCTAGAAAAAACAGAAAAGAATGGACCACTATTCAACTAATTTCATTAGGACATGCTTGGTGCAATTCAATGATAATAAAAACATTTTACTTCCAAAAAAGCATCCAAAGTACAGAAGGATTATACTCACAACAAAACTCCTTCCTAACGGGGTATCCATAAAGTCATTAATTTGCTTCCTGTACTGCAAAGATAACATCAATGATCAAACCAAAAGTTAAAATAACTTGGAATGACATTAAAAAAAGATATGACATCATCAAATTCCAAACTGCAAAGAGTAAATGAGAACTATTTATGCCAATATTTTTATATTAGTGGTAGGCAGAGTTTTTGCCAATAAATTGATAGTATCCAACAATAAAATAAATTTTGATTCAAACCAATTAACCAAAACTAAACCAAAAGTCTGTAAATTTTCCACAATCAATTACATAATATGGAAGAATTAATACTATAAATTACAAATCCTAGAAAAACCACCTGGGATGAGGTTCAACTCACAATTCTAAATCTAACTGCATCCATGATTGCAGTTGAAATGTCATGAGGTCGTCACTGGTATTATGTAATGGTTGTGGACGTTGCTGTCATGAGTTGGCAGCAACTCTATGCAACGTGTTAGTATGGCACATGTTCTTAGTACTCGCACTATGCGAACACAATATCCATAATTTTAGTAGTTAAATATAAAAAAAAATCAATGGTTTAGTGACATTTTATTGTCCCTTACTATGGCATTTGTAGCACATTGAGCCATTGCCTGGTGACTACTAAAAAGTGTAGGCCCTAAATATTCAATTTGGTGACAGTGAATATTCCTTCATCCATTCTTGAGTTGAACTCAAAATATGCCATCATATTGGCATATCACAGTAATTTGACCCCAAAATATTGCGAAATACGCAGCAACCAATATTTAATACACCTCTGGCTACCTAAAGTAAGATTTTGAAAGTTGTAACAACAATGCAAGGTATGAAAAGAGCTTGATACTACAGACTAGATGGGCCTGTGGGATAAAAGTAGTCACAAGGTTGAGTGGGCTGAGCTACAACCATACAGACTGAAGCTCTAGCTCACCAATTAGCTCACTGCTGGAAATCGGTTTCAACACACTTCATTTCCCCCATCTAGTTCTTGGAAACTGCAATTGAAGTAGCAACTTATTTGTTTCCTTCTTTTTTCAGGTACTTTTTACTAGATATCAATTTCAAGGCTCTCTCTTAGGCTTATTAACCTCTTAACGTAGTGTGGGAAGAGGAAAACAGTAGGAAACAGAATTCACAGCAGAATAATGGTTAAAATTAAGATAAAAACTGAAGTTGGAACAAGATAATAGAATTTAGGGTTCATAAGAAACCTCTAGAATCTGAATAGATTGATAGATAACAAAAAATACTACGAAAGTAACTCTAGCTACCTATTTATATTAGTTTAATCCCTATATCCTTGGAGGAAAAGGATTCCCAGTCTTAGTCCCCAAGTAAAACCACTTAGCTCATAAAGGAAATACTTTAAAAGTCACATGCTGATCACATGATCCTAGATTAATTAAGAAACCCTAATATCAGAAATATACAAAAACAAATCCTAGAGAAAGCTCCTGTGTCACCTCTGCATGTTTGGTTTGATTTCCTTGATTATCAGAAGAAACAGAGAAGGAAATAAATTCACTACTCATATGTGTGATCTATGCAACAAGATTTCAAGCAAATGGACAATTAAAGATTAAACTTAATTTTCTTGTCTAGGCTTCAACATGAGAGTTAAAATAATTACAGGCTATTATTTTTCATGTTACTGTTCATGCAACCCTCACATTATTATGGTTTTTATTTTATTCAACAGCGTCTGCATGTACTATATTATTTTCATTTAGTTTGACTCGAGATTGGTTTATTTTGGATGGTTATGATTGCTCATAATTAAGGTTACATCATCAAAAACTTATATAAGCTTCATAATGTCTTTCATTTTTCAATGAAATAACATTCTTAAAAATTTTAAGTGGTTTAGTTTCCTACGGGAGGCTTTCTACTAAGAAGTGATTTTAAGCTTACTAATGTTGAAGTCATTGGTTCTATAACTAATTTCCGTTCTTCTCACCAAAAGTTCAGACCTCAAACCAATTTCCCAAAGTATAAATTTTCCAGTTCCTATATTTATAATCCCTTACCCTGTGCTTATCACCTAAAAAGTCATTGCCTTCTCCACCAGTGTCAATGAACCAAGACCTTCTAATTTGTTTCTACATTTAAGGTCTAGAGTAGTTTAATGTTTCACTTTTCAAATTATTATACAGAGATTGTTTGACTCTTATACTTCCTGTGGTCTTTGGTTGGACCAGTATGCACCAAAAACTTATTACAACAGCCAAGCCAAATATGCGTAAAAAAATTAGATGAGCAAAGATCTTTTTCTCATGTTATTAAAGTCATATGCAAGAACAAGACTTATTTTCCTATTGCAAAGAGCATATTAATTTCATACATGTTTCATCCAACAAAAACTTGGGATATCTGTGTTAACAATTTTGAATATAACCATTCAAAATATTAGAAGTGCATAAGGAGGGAGAGAGGGAAGAACGAACCCTAGGCCAATTTCTGCTAAAATCCATGCTGAAAGTGCGCCATCGAAGACTAATATCATACTCTCTATCAATCTCACGGGCGCGATCTGAAGCAGATTGGGCAACAGCACTGACACGTTGTGACACTGAGTACCTACGATCAATACGCTCGGCCGTCTTCTTGGCCTCAAATAGCAACTGCTCAAAGCCATCATTGGCAGTGCGCCATGCATCTTTTGCAAACCTATCAAAGTCACTTCGGAAAGCAATTGCCTTGCCAGAATGGACGAAGGAGATTGGGCGCCTGTGGATGCTGCATTGAAAAGCAAGTCCTGTGCCAGCATCGATAAAGGGGCTTGGGTGCAGGCGCCTGTGCAAGCGTGTGGGCAGTTGGGGTTGCCATGAAAAAGCTGTAGCCATCATTACCTGTTAAGAATCACAAAAATTAAAGCTCACAAGTCTGCCAATTTCTTACCGCCACACTTTGCAGCAAAAATCCCAAAAAACAGCCCCAAAAGATAAAATTTTTCATTCAAGAAACTTAACAGTCAAAAGGACCTCCTTCATTTGCACAAAATTAAGCTCAAAGAAACCATCATAAGTCATCCAAAAATACATCAACATTTCCAAAAAAAAAAAAAAAAATACAACCCACCAACCACTCAAACACATGAAACAGACCCTTTGTTTTTCTCAATTTAATCATTCAAATAAAAAATAAACCATATAAATTCAACAAGACTTAATAAACACAAACCAAATAAATTTGTACCTTTCGAGTAAAATTGTAGAGATTAAAGTGCACAAACCAATTGAGGAACTGACCTGAAAAATCAAATTTAACCATCAAAATTAGAACTTTTCATAATTTTCAAAGAATCCATTTGAGAAATAGACTTGAATTGCAGGACTCAACAATCGGCTTTAGCAGGAATATGTGAGAAGAGAGAGCAGAGAGGCTGAGGTAGTAGAGACTTCCTAGGAGCATCAGAAGTAAAACGATGATAACCTGGGTCCGAAGAGAATTTCTTGGGCCGGAATCAGTTCCTACTTCTTGGGCCCGGAGTTTATCAGACAAAGTTAGATCCATTGAGAAAAGGTCGGCCTTTTGATAGCAGAAATTAATTTGAAAAATAATAGTTCAGCCCATTTTTTCTATAAAATTAGCCCAGCCCATATTTTCCAGGAGCTAGCTGAATGCATTTAGTTTTAGCAAGGTTTGATTATTTATTTATTAATTAATTATTCATGCTATTTTTTCCCCACAAATACCTTACCCACATGCCATGATAGCCAGGTCATTGCATGCACATATATCCAAGACATGCTGAGAATGTGGATGTTTTGCTTAATTAAGAGTTGACGAGGGATGGATTCATTTGGAAAAAAACTTAATTTTAGCATACAAAAATTGAAATTAAAGTTTATAGAGGAAAAATAATAATTTGACATGCTGCAATGAGTAAATTATAAATTAGTCCTTTTAGCTTTGAGAAATGAATTAATTATTCTTTTTTTCGTTTCAAAAACTATTCATTTAGTCTTCTACAGCTTTAGTTTTATTATGTAAGTCAAATTAATACTTAATACTTAAAATATTCTTTAACTTGCATACTGATTTATAGAGATATATTTTGGTACTTTAAGGAAAAAAAAAAAAGAATTGAGATTAACAAAATGAAAAGTGGAGATTTGAGGAAAAAATGTGAATTTGTTTTGGTGTTTGAAGAGAGAAAAAGAGAGGAGATGTGCGTGAAGAAGGAAAATAATGTATATAAAAAAAAATGAAAATAAAAAATATTACAGTAAAGATACTTCATCATTACTGTAATAGAAAATTTGACAAAATTACAAAGTTATTGAAGAAATTATAATATAAAAAATTAAATAATTGATTTTTTTTTTATTTGACAAAATTACAAAGTCATTGGCGAAATTAAAATATAAAAAATTAAATAATTGGTTTTTTAAGTAATTCGTTTCTCAAAAGGACTAATTTATAATTTACTCTGCAGCCATTCAAACCATAAAATCATAAAAAAATAAAATAAAAACAAAAACGCTTTAAAACTCACTGAACCTTAAACGAATTGTTATTCTCTCTCTTTTTATGGTAAAGCTGGCGTGTTCCAACATGCACACAAACTGTTTGATGAAGTGCTTTAGTGAAAATGCAAAGGGACTGTTCACTCATTTAATGCGCTGTTATCAGCTTGAATTTAAGCAGGGGGTTTGATAAGATCAAAGGCATGTTAAAGGTTTTGCCTGAGACGGTGGGGATAACCCCTGTTGTGGTCTTGTATAATAAAGTTATAAAGGGTTTTTTGTCACATGGGGAATTTGGCTTCTACTGTTTTGGCGCTTGATGAGATGAAAAGGAAGGATCTTGAATGGAATTCGATTACGTTTAACAAACTTCTAAATGGGTTTTAGACACTTGTTAAGAAGCATAAGTTTTTAAACTAACTTTATTTATGTATAATTAAACTATAAGCTATAGAAAAATTCTGCTATTAATGTTTTTTTTTTTTGTTAATGAGAAACAGACCATTACTAGTATTTATATATCTTGAATTAAACTCTTTTAAAAAATTCCTTAGAGTATTAAACTTCCAATTTTCTGCTATTTCTATATGTATATATATAGATAATCCTTCTTATATACGTACCCAATAAACTAAATAACTAAAACATTTTATTTGACATATATTTTATCATTAGTTTTAAACTTTTATTTTTATTTTTATTTTTATTTTTGTTTCACAAGATTCTGAGAGTCATTAAATTCTCCTAGTAGTTAAACTTTGTTCTAAACTAATGAAATAGCAAACATTTTTACCTTTTTTTTTTAAAAAAAAAAATGATAGAAACTCAATACCCAATGTTTAGACAAAAACATCTAATGCTAATATACTACCTTACTTTATGATGATCAATTCCTTGCTTTATTTATATAAGAAAAAAAAGAAGGTTTATTTAGCTCAGATAGCCAGAGGGATTTTTACTCTCTCGTTAACAATAATCATTCAGCTGCGAATTAGGAGATATTCTTTGGTGATTGTTTGTGCTCTGAAATTGTTTGGGACAGATCTAGACGGAACAGAGCAGAAAAAGACAGCATAAATTTGAAAGCTACTGCACGTACCAAGAATGTAAATGAACTATTTTTTAGGCTTTAGTGGCAAGTAAACACCGTACGAGGTGTCGATAAACTAACATGAGGACCATGAAAGCTACTGCCATAAATTGCCCCAGCAACCTTATATTCAACATTGTCATGCAAGCTTTGTCCTAACATGACAAAATAGTCAAATTAGTCGCCTCAAGTTTGAAGAATTCATCACCGCCTCGTTTGATTCTAGATAACTTTGAGCTTTCTAGAAATGTATAGGAAAAAAAAAATAAATGGATAAGCATGAGGTGATGTTTTAGGCAGAATTGTTTAGAATTGTGACAATCAACTTTATTAGAATTATTTAGAAATTGTAACAACCCAATTAGCTAGTGAAGATATAAATAGGGACATGACCATTAATGTAGTTTGTGTGTCTGTGTGTCTAGCAATTGAGAGAGTCGCTAGGAAATTAAGTGTGTCCAACTATTGTGAGTGTTGAGTGAATAAGTGTGTTTGTGAGAGTACGGGGAGCAAGTGAGTAAAAAAAAAAAAAAAAATAGGTGTATATGTATAAATAAGTAAATGTTCATGGATTGAAAATAATTTTTTCACACTAGTCAAAAGCCGGAAGCAACATAATTAATTAATAAATAACTATCTTACTTCATAACTAAATCAAACTATAACTCTACAACTAAGCACAACCAATCAATTTCCTGGTAGCCTTATGGCCCATCTACTGAAAAATTCACTACCTAATCATCATTTTTGAAAGAATCCTTAAAAAAGACAGAAACATCAGATGGCTTCATTTACCGACATTTGTTTTCTCTTTCAACTCTTGTTTGACATCATCAACCCAATATATTATTAAAACATGTTTTAATAAATTATAAACACGAGGATGGTCACTCGTCATCGTTGTAATATAGAAACAGAATAGATTAATACTTATGCTACGTTGCGGTAAAATAAATGCTCAATGATAAATTGTTTTTTTTCATATTTATAAGAAAATAAAGAAGCTAGACGGATTCTAAATGTTTGAATTTTTTTCTTTCATTGCTTTGATGAAAGATGGTTGTTTGAATAAAATAACGGAACAAAAATTTGAGCAATAGTAGATGATATCTTTTTTAATGGTAATAAGAAGAGTTACATGCGAAGCTTCGATAATATCAATAATGTTTGAGCAGCAAAGCGTAAAATACATATAAGTTATTAAAAAAAAACATTTAACCAATTACATCTCGTTGTTTTATTCATCCAAAAGTATGCAAGTATATATTTTCGTGCAATTAAACAACTCTATGGAATGTTTGAGAACATGTTCGATAAACATATTTTAACAAAAAAAAAATTGAATCAATAATCGAAAGCAAGTGGCTACTCTTCGTATGTTTGTTAATCGAAAGCAATGTTTATTTATTTATTTGGTTTGAAATAGTAAGTAGTCCTATGGTACATCTAGATATGAGATTGAATGGAAAACTATACATTTATTATCAAACTTACGTATTAGCAATGAGTGTGCGGAACAAATTATAAATACTTGTTCTGTTTTTATCTTTCAAATTTGGCTTGCCCATGATGTACTAAAAGAAAAACGATAATTATTATTAACTCATGAGATGGATGAAATTCAAATGTTTGGTAGGTTTTTTTGTGGCAAGGATTGGCGAAATCATGAAAATGAAAATGAAAAAAAAAAAAAACAAATAGATACAAAGAAGCAAGTTTGACTAAGAACTTAGTAAAAATGCCTTTTATGTGATATTTGTAGAAGTGAAAAAAAAAATCAGCTAATAAAAGTAATAATAAAAAGTACTATATTACTTCAAGAATAATGTTGAAAAAAATTAAACATGTACAAAAATTTACAAATGTTGAGCTAGATATGATGTAAATACACACATAAAATAAAAATATAAGATAGAGAATATCAAGCTAAACATAATTCATGGACAACAAAATATCAAGTATAGGTATGTTCCAACACATACAAAGTTAAAGAGCATCTAATCTATGTGAGGAGTAAATTTTTTTTTTATATAGTTTCGGGTTTTCTTCTTTTCTTAGTTACTCGTCAATTTTTTTCGAAAATCCTTTCCTCTCAAATTAACTAACTCCTTTGTTTGTGTTTCGTGTTGTCGTGTATATATGTAATTGTACTGGTTTTCTATCATAATGATATAAGATTTTTTTTATTGTAGACTATGATATGAGGTTGGATGTAATAGTAGCAAGAGGCGACTGCTAGCAAAAAAAGGAGGATGTGCTGCAAGAGTTGCAGTAAAGTGTAGGAGGA